GACTGACAAAAAAGCGTTGACTCCCACTTATATATTGTCAGATATCGAAATTTCTAGTTTCAAAACTTTCTAGACAAATTCAAACTCTACACGGAATGGCTTTATGTATATTCCGAAATAGAATTTTTTAAATTATTCACTTTTCAAAAAAGTTTTTGAGCACTTTGTCTTATCACTTGAGCGTGGATGAAATTCTAACTGACAAAAATACTTCACTCCTGCTTATATACTGTCAACAATCGAAATTTCTAGTACCAAAACTTTCTAGAATGCACACTGAAATTAAAAAAGTTGTTGAAACTCATGCATGAATTTGACGTTATGTATATTCCAGAATAGAAGTTTCTAGATAATTCTCTTTTAAAAACTGTCTTAAATCATTTTTGAATAATTTTGAACATTCAAATAATCTGGAATATTCTAGACCGATAATAATTATTTTTTAATCATTTTTAGTGTTTGGATATACGAGGAATTCCCTAGTCCTAGATCATTCATGAAATTTTGGGAAGACTCAAAGACCTCATATCGATTAAAATTAGTTTTTATTCGATTTTAAACATTTAAATAAATTTTAGGTTTTTGCAGGTCGCACAACTTTAAGGAAAACTCCAAACTCTTCTGGAAAGAGGTTGGAAGGTCCCGGAGTGGTGCGACAGCCTTAAGAATGAACAAAGTGCTTTCGAGAACCAATGACATCCTCTCAAAAAAATCGGACGTCATGCAGCGATGGAGTGAATTTTGTAGAGAAATGTATGCGTGTCATGAGCTTAGTGAAGGATCCGGGGGTGACACCGTGACTGGCACGCCAGACGCGGACCTCGATGACACTGAGGTCATCAGCATGAAAGAGATTGAACGTGCGATTCAAAGTTTGAAATGTGGTAAGGCTGCGGGACTAGACCGAGTTACTGTTGAAATGGTCAAGTACGGTGGGCTTCGCGTCTGGGACAGCTTTCATCTGCTGTGCAATTTGTGCTGGCGGACGGGAGATGTCCCGGATGATTCGCGATCCGCGATCATTGTGCCTTTTTATAAAGGTAAAGGTTCACATTTTGACTGCGGGTGCTATCGGGCAGTCAGCTTGACCAGATTAGCAAGTAAAGTTTACTCGAAGGTTTTGACACGTAGAATGCAAGAGAAATCGGAAAGATTTTATGGGAAGCACAATGCGGATTTAGACCTGGAAGAGGATGCACGGATCAAATGTTTTCTCTCCGCATGATCACGGAGAAGCTTCTGAATGTTAACCAGAAGATTTTCTGTGCTTTTGTGGATCTGGAGAAAGCATTTGATAAGGTTATAAGGAAGAAAATGTGGGAACTGTTGCCGGAATATGGTGTGGATGGTCGATTGTTAAGGGCTGTGCAGTCACTTTACTATGATTGTAAAGCCTGTGTGCGGGTAGGGCATGACCTGTCACCCATGTTTAGCGTCCAAGCGGGCGTAAAACAGGGTTGTGTCATGTCTTCCTGGCTGTTCATACTGTATCTCGACAGCTGTTTACAGAAGCTGAAAAATAGCTGTTTGGGTGTGAAATTGGGTGACATTAAAGTTAATTGTCTGCTGTATGCTGATGATGCAGTGCTTATTGCACCATCAGAAGCAGAACTGCAGGCATTAAGTCACGTGTATGAAAGAGGAATGTGAAATTAAAGGTCTCCGTTTGAATGCTAATAAAACTAAGGTTCTGGTATTTGAAAAGGACGAAGAGAGAACGAAATGTGAAATATGGGTAAATCAGGAACGTCTAGAACAGGTAAATGAAATTGTATACTTGGGGAGTGCTTTCAGCCGGGATGGAAGATGTGATTTAGATGTGGACAGGCGTGTCGCTGCCGGTAACAAAGTCAATGGTGCCCTGAACGCGTTAGTCAAAAGGCAAGGCGTAGTGAAAAGTGCACGCCTTGCAATACATAACGCAGTGTTGGTGCCGACTTTGTTATATGGCAGCGAAACCTGTGTATGCCAGAAGAAGCATAAAAGCAAGTTGAATGCAGTGGAGATGCCATCTCTTCGTAAAATGTGGCGGCGTTACCATAGCCGACCGAAAGCGAAACGAAGAGATTCGCAATATGGCAAGATTGAAAGATGACCTTATAACAAAAATCGATAGGGGCGTACTCCGATGGTTTGGGCACATTGAGCGAATGAGTGAAGACCGAATGGTGAAGAAAATATATAGCGCGAAAGTAAATATTAAAAGGTGTCGAGGTAGACCGAGACTAACTTTCGAAGACCATGTGAGTAAATTGCTCGAAGAGGGGAAGGTCAAGAGTACTCGGATACCTAGACGTGCATGTATGAAGAAGTTAATGAACATGAAAGAAGCGAAAGAGGTATGTAAGGATCGTGACACTTGGCGATCTGTTATCTCTGGCTACCCCGTTAGGGATTGTGCATGAAGATAAATAAATAAAAAAAATAGGTTTTTCAGATTATTTAAAAAAAAGTTTACAATGATCTAAAACACTTTCGATCCGATGGATTCGATTTACAAATATTTTTGTACATTTAAATATATATTATAATGTTTTAGAAAGTTTGAAACCTACAATGTTCTATCGTGTCTAAAATTATTTTTATATAATATTGAACATTTTAATATATTTGTGCTTTCTTGATCTATCTAGAAATATCTAGAATATTCTAGATTGATAACAATTATACTTAATTAATAATTTTCAGTGTTTGAATGTATGATGGAATTACTTAGATCATTCGTGGAATTTTGAGAACAATTTAGGACATTCTGAATCAACTACAATCACTCATTACATAGTTCCTTTTAAAAATTGTAAAGTTAACTTAGGGTATTCTAGAACATTCTGGAAAAATCTGAAATATTGTACTAAAGTTCTTGATATTATCACGCTCAAAAGTAATTTACGCCTTTCAGCATAGCTTATATGAGTTGTAAAATGTCTTGGAAAAGGATAGAAGTATCTCATTATACAATTTTACTACCCACATCCACCCACATCAACTAAACTTTCTTACTTGCAACACATGTGGGGCTTCTACCACTGCAACCACAAGTGGGCGGCAGTGGGTAGCAGTGGGTAGCAGTGGGTTGCCATGGAGGAAAGGCTGAACATACAGACTAACACTTTCTTTTTATATTGATTCAATGGTAGGACGGCTTTTCTGTGTGTTCATCTATTTATACTGGCAAGCATCCTTTATTCGATTTGTATTTTTCATTCTTAATTCATTTAAAATAAATCCAAATTTAATTTAATAAAAAAATATGTATAAATAAATTAATTTCAAACCTTTCAAAATAATCGGGCAGCTATTAAAAAAGCTAAAAATATTCACTTCATGGTTTTTAAGGTAAAAAGAACCGGGATGTTCTTTATCCGGACGTTCCTATGGTTTGGACATGCTGTAGTAACTAACAAATTCATTTATTTAAAATAAATCACGTGTTTATTTGTTATTTAGTTTGTATTCATTTTTAATTGCAGGTGCCGGTACGAGGAATAAGCATTTGACGCGTTACGTTTAGCTCAGAGTTTTAAATAATAAGCCAGATAGGCATTGAAGCTAGGTAATAACATTTTGAACTTACGGTGTGTTGATACAGTGTAATGTTTTAGCAGTTTTCTTTTGTTTATTGTTCTTGTGTAATATAATTTAAAATACGTAAAAAAGTATGAAATCGTAATTATGAACCAAGTTATATATTTTCGAGTTTTACATTACAGTTATTTTAATAATTTCAAAATAAACAATTTGAAATGGAATACGTGAATAAGTCAATTATTACATAAAAGAATGGGTTCTTGCATTTGATCAACCAACTGAAGCATGTTTTTCAGAAGTCACTTCAATTAAGCTCCATGTTATATTTTGATGGCGTCACATTGGTATTAATTTCATAAAATGTAGCCAGTGGTTCCCCAAAAATGATAACGAATCTAAACAATGACGCAGGTCACAAAACAAACTGGTTTACGTACACTTAAGTAATGTTATTTATGGGGTAGTCGTGTGAAAATGAATACAAGCTTGTGTGCTACTTTATTCAGTAGTACTATTTGTCTTACAGAATAAAAAAGATAGACTGAAAGTCATTAAGAATTTTCATTTCCAGTAATGACAAAACCATCCCGAACTTGTCTGTAAGAACAAGATTTCCAGTCACGTCGCATTGTGTGTATGTGTTATATATATATATTATATATATATATATATATTATATATATGTATATATATATATGAATATGTATATATACATATATAACATACACACACACAACACACACAATGCGACGTTCGACTCTGAACACAAATTCGCTCAATTATTTATTTTATAAATTAAATATTGTTCATTATTTTCATACTGCACTAATAAGTGAAGAAAAGCAAAATAATATTAAGAGGACTATAAAGAATATATTTTATTCTTAACTTTTGTAATTTCATTTTATGTTTGCATTAAAAAATGCGTATTTTGTATTTAATGCTATTGGTTATCATCATTTAAAAAGTATGTTATCATCATCATTATTATGTATATAAGTAGTATATGAATACAAACGTAAATCAAACTTATAAATTAAATCAGAAACCTTTTATACAACGTTATATGAAATATCTGTAGGTAGATTCTCTTATTTAATTAAACATTTTGAAATCTTGTTTTTTACCTAACTAGGGTAGTCAATATTGAAAATTTCTGTTCTAGAGACATTACTCAAACAAAAAATTTAAGTTGCTAAAACATTCTCTGTATATCAAAGTTTATAATATATATATTGCACAACATTAAATACGTAAACAACATAGGGTAAGAGGTAAAGTGGCTAGAAATAAATGAAACCTAGGAGAATAAAATTGTGTGAGAGTTTTATTACATATTAGTGTAATTTGAATCATTTTGTATGACGATTTTAAGGATAATAATAAACAATTATTGTATGGAAATTTGTTTTATTGATCGTTTTATATTTGTATATAATATGAAATTAAAATTTTAAGGCATTTTAATATTGTCAGTCCTTTAACATTATAGACGAAGTCACCAGCTCCTGTGAAATGGAAATTAAATTAAGTATAAATATAACAACTATGTTTTAAGATTACATATCTAAGTTTTCCTAATGAAATCGACCGGAACCACGATACCACCATTACAACAACTTCCCCTAATACTGCCAAAAGCTATCGAATGCCTACGTGGTATTATTATAGCACCACAGGCGTGCGAGCAAACAAACTCTTCTTTTCAAACATTCACTTTTCTCTTCACGCACCTGCTCTATGGAACGCTAAAGGTCTATACCATGGAGGTTAAAGAACAGGAGAACGATCACTACGTACTAAAGCATAGCCCGCCTGCCCTTGAAAATTGTAGAATGTATAGCGGCGTCAAGTACAAGTAGATGAAGTTAGTTGAATATTGTACAAATTTTCATTTAATTTTTTCGTAGAAAGTTTTCATGCTCCGTAGTTTTGTAATTTTTGACAAAAAAAAAACATTAAAAAATGGAGAAATATTTTATTGTGCGTGCATGTGCAAGTGGTTTAGTATCTGATCGGAAAAATAGACTGAAAATGACTTTTATTGACCGAACTTAGCGATCGCAGCGCCTCACTTATAGTGTCCATATTTCTACGGCGATCGTTCTCCTGTTCTCTAACCTTCATGGTCTATACCCACTATGACATTTCATACCATGATCGTAACATTACAGTTGTGAAACGCCTGAAGTGCGGCGATGGCGCCGCCTGCATAGGTATTTACGCAGCAGAGTATGCTAAGGTGGATATTATAATACTCATTATTATTTATTGACACATTTGCGCCAACCGTATGTATCAGACTATGTGAAGTGCGATAGCACAAGGTCGGACCGTCCCACGGCCCACAGTGCCCCCACCATTGCTCTGCACAAGTAAATTCGTTTCCCAACCGTAAGGTCTTTAAACTGTGGTTACATATCGGCACATTAGAAAAAATAGTTTGTATAAATTATTACGTTACAACGTCTACTAGAACGTTTCAATGGCCAACACTATAGCGTGCCATTACAGGATTTCACGATGAGAATATTTGGCATATTAGAACATTTGTAATTAGACTACCCGTTTACGACACGCTACGATACCAAACCGCTCTTTGTAGGCGACCAAACTTGTATCTGCCTACGCTAATTGCTAAATGTTAATTCTTTTAAAGATAATTTTATTATAGCTACCGTTTAGTAGTGGATAAAAAAATTGCAGAAGTGAGTGGACCGATAGTTTAAATCAGTCTTATCATTTGAAAATCTTTGTACTCACCCGATGCGCATTCAAATATTCTATGTCGGTGTCCGTCGCTAATATCTGCACAGCGTCCAAAATTACGTTCGACGCCTTCTTTACGTTGTGCGCGAACATCGCCAGCACTTCGCTCACTGTAACCTTAGAACATTTAACAGATTATTCCTATTACGAATTTTTTCTTATGGGTACTAATTAAACTGACCTCTCTCAGAAAATCTACATTGCCCTCTGAATTACTAAGTCAGCCACCAACAATCGCGCATTGACTATACTACTGTCATTACAACTCATCTTGGTACTTATTTTTTACATCTACATTTGTAACATATATTCAAGCAGTAAACTTCTAAAATATTTAACCTACGCCAACTTAAAATGTTGGCGAGTTGTAAAATCCGTGAGTGAGTTAGCTATTGGTGGTGATGTATAAATCAGTATTTCATATTGTTACGAGCTAGAGGTTCGTAACAATAAAAATTGCCGATAAAATTACCTAAATTAACACTTTAATTTACTTTACACAAATTAAAACTTAAAACACTAATAATTAAACACACTAATTCACTTTATTCCGCTCCGAAGCTTCGCTTGTCTCGCCAAATCCAATACTGCCTCGATAGCATCTTGCAGCGCCTATATATACAAATTAGCAATGAAGCATCCGGAATATTCAAGTAAATGCGCGCAAAGCGACGAGTGTTCGAGTGTAGATTTTCTAGAAACTTAGTTCTTCGGATGGCGCTGTCGGTAAAGATTTGTGATGTCATTTTCTGCATAGCTCCCCTCGCTCTCGTTCCTGACACTAGATGGCGCTAGTGTATTACGTTGAGCGCGTAACACTGCCCCCTCCTAAGACATGCTCGTCCCGAGCATTATCGGTCCCATAATAACGCGCCAAGCGATCCGAGTAGCGCCATCCGAAGAACTAAGTTTCTACTTAGTTCTTCGGATGGCGCTGTCGGTAAAGATTTGTGATGTCATTTTCTGCAAAGCTCCCCTCGCTCTCGTTCTTGACACTAGATGGCACTAGAGTATGACGTTGAGCGCGTAACAATATTACCACGGAGTTTTTCTTCTAGTGAAATCCTACTCATTATTATTAATATTCACGTTACTAGTCACGAACTAGTACGTGAATAGTCACGTTCAGCATGTAGGTCGGCAACCGCAGCTTTTTATTATTTTAACTTGTTATTAGGAAACTGCTGCCGCTGCCTATTTCTGTTTCATTTCCATCTGTCGCCACTTACGACTAACTCGTAATATGACAGTGGATACTAGGACTGCAAGGCGTATAGCAATCTATAATAAAGGTGTAAATAGCAAAACAAAAATAGCAATTGGGGCCATAAGTTATTATAAATATAATATTTCTAGAGTACGAAATGTAGGCAATATTAATAGTATCGCATTCACGTAGCGTGCGTTTACTGTGCACGTGTATGTTTTTTACAAACAGGTTTTAACTAGAACTTAATAAAATCATAATTGTTTACTGGATGTACTACTTATAAGATTCATATAATATGAATAATATATAATATAATGTAATAGTGTATGTTCTTCATAACATAAGTCAGTCTTTTATCGGTATTCGTGTTTCACTCGCTCTTCAATCCTTACTTTCTAATTTACCGTCCTTCCGTTTCGACTCGAATAAGCTCAACCTCCATTTACCAAGAATTTGGAAAAACTTGCAATATCGATAAAATCGAAAAGCAATACAAAATCGAATAAGAAGATGCACGAGTAAGAATTAAGATGTTAGCGGAATAGACTAACCTATCTGTTGGCACCATAGCCATACACACCATATTACAGGACTATCTCACCCTCACAAGTCAGTGCAATATGGATGCCGCGAATGCTCACTGAGCTTCAAAAGCAGGCGCGGGTTGACTGTTGTAGAGAGTTTTTACAGCTGTGTGGTGACGACCCAGCAAGTGTTTTTGCAAGGTGAAACTCTGAAAAATACACTGCCACCTTACGCCGTTTGAGAGAAGCAATAAAGGTAAAGAGAAGAGGAAAGCTAACCAAGGGAGTGCCGTTTATTCATGACAACGCACTGGTTCACACGACGCGGCTCTCCGAGGCTCCTGTACAAGAGTTTGTTGAAATTAACCTCCCATCATACAGCCCAGATCTAGCCCCTAGTGACTACTCTTTATGCCCAAACTTAAAAAAGACCTTCAGAGAAAGCTATTAGCTGACGATAATGAGCTCAAGTCCGCTGTACTTAAATAAGTATTTTTCAGGCCAAGACGAATAATATTGATGTCTTGGGAGACTATATTAAAAAATAAAAAATATTTCATAATTTTATGTCTTTTTTACATACCCATAGCGAGAATACATTGAATGCTCTTCGTACCTTTTAAATAAGAGCCTGTTTAAATGAATGAAAATACCATATTAAAATTCTGTAATTAAATGAAAAAATTGTCTCGTATCGATGTTGTGGTGTGTCAAAAACTTACAGATTTTTCATTTTCTCTCCAGCAATCGTAGTCGGTTATTAAGGCGACTGCAGCATAACTTAGGCCCGCCTCTTTTGCTAGCACGACCTGTGAATTCATACATTATAAATTAGGTAACAGATCATGGTCTTTACTCGTTGTGTTTGTCGTGGTTGTGATTAATAAAAATAAGAAATTAATACATATATGGTGGCGTTGTCGCCGCGCCACAAGCCTAAATTGCGCAATCAAAGTTCTGAAGTTAACAGGCTATATATAGAACAGCTCCGAATTAACACACGGAGCGTTGGCCACTTCCCGGGCTGTACACCTTGCCCAGCGGGAGATCTCCCATTTTCCTTACCACGGCCAAACAATACATAGAGAATTATAAATTCTAAGTTGTAAAATATCAACAATTTTCAATTGCTAAAAGAGTTAAGTATACTATACTTTTCCTTTCCTAATTAAAAAGTAAACTAGTTTTCATATAATGAATTACTAAACCATGTTTATGATATTATTAACAGATCTTATAATTAAAGAAATATTACCTCAGGAACCGTGGTCATGTTAACAAGATGCCCACCCCACTGACGGTGCATAAGGCTCTCAGCGCGACTTGAAAATCTGAAATGTGTTTTTTTTTTCTTTAATTGAATAAACGTGAAAATCGAGCACACATTCTACCGGATGACAAGCGAATGCAGTGGCTCATAGACACCTACGTCTATCTTTCATTAAAAATTGAAAAAACTACTGCAGATAATCTTAAAATGCTTGTATTAGGGGTGGTTCACTAGTCGAATGGCAGATTGAAACTAACAAACTTTTTGCACCGTCCCATTTTTTTATAGATTTTTATAGTGAATTCTGTGACCCATAGACATCTACATCTATACTCGATTAAGAATCAAAATACAGATGCTTTGTTACCCCTGAGAACTAAGATGGAATGTCTTGTTTCCAGTAAAAGGGGTCTCCGGTTCATTACACTGACCATACGAAACACAGCAGCATTAAGCAGCCACTTCACGCTGGTAGTCTTTGAGAGTGTGGTTCATTCGGGCTACAACCATAATATAGTTGCAGCGAAGCCAGTGTGGCCAACTTTAAAATACAGATCCTGTCTTACTTTGGTTAAAAACCTGCCAAAGTCTGTAGCGAAAATGCCTAAATACTGTCAATTTTAATTAACATTGTATTAAACATTTCATCACATTACGTGATACGGCAAATAGTGTTCTACCAAAAAACCACACGTTTAGCTCTGCCTTTTTAATTTCTTTTTGCAAGGAAGATTTCCTAAAGAATTGTTGCACCTGAAATAATTCAGTGAATTTATTTTAAAATGCAACATACATTCTTGTGGGTGTAAGATTAAATAAATAAAAAAATATTAGCTTAGCACTGCGATACGATGTTCGACCTGGTGAAAAAATAAATATACCTATTACAATCTGTTAGTTTATTACACCCGAAGACTGCCCACTGAATTCACTCATATTTTTTGATGTTTGCTAGTAGCTGCATGTTTCCTTAAAGCGGACAGCCGACATGCCAATTTGCAGTTACAGGCTTTACAAAAGGCCACGTCTGGATCATTTTTAGCTTTTGAGAGTCACAATGAAAGTAAAGAAGCTTGTTCATACTCAGCTCTATACTACCCTACCCTATCATATTTTCGCTTCATCACCTCTAATAATTACTATCGCCCACTAAATATTATTAACAAGATATTATCACCGTGAAATCTAATGCGATACCAAACTAAATAAAGTACGTCCTTCTATGACTGATTGAAATATTAACCATAAACTCGTGTTTATGAATACTTGTTTTAGGATTATGAACTTTATAAACAAACGTTAAAAGTTGTTTATTGAATGTGATACAAACATAATACGAGAAGTACAGGGAAATCCCCCACACGCTGGCGAAGAATCTTGGGTTATCATTTTCAGCAGTTTGAGTTGCCATAATGAAATCTATTTTTAATACCCTAATACTGCCAAATACTGCCAGATTCTATTAAAAAGTCAACAGATTATGCCAGAGGCTAAAATAAGAGGCTAATCTTGCCATTTTGGCAGGTTCCTGCCACGATATGGTCACACTGAATGTAGCGCTACCAAGTAAAGTTGGTATATAACAATATAACCAGAAACTTTTATTAAATATACATTATAATACTTATTGAAAGTCACTATTTTGTTTAATTTACCACTGGTTCGAAAAAAATCTCTGTCCTGGGAAGAATCAGCAAGAAATACAGCAGGACTTTCTTTTTTTTTTAAAAACAGCTTACAACCAATGTGTATCTACTATCCTATTCAGAGACAAAATTCTGAAAGCAGGTCATCGCAATCACAAAGAACTGTCTACTTGTGGAGGATTTGTATGAGTTTAGAAGCTGCTAACCTTCGCATGTAAGTATATTCGGCCAAACAACGAAATTATACTAGCATTTTGAACTTAAACACCTAAACCTGTACCACCTTCTGAACCTCCTTTTCGTCTAGGTGTCCGGTTGGGTAGGCAGAAGCCTCTTACCTATTTCTGCCATCAAATAGCAGTGTCTGCGTTGTCTGAAGGATATAGAGGACCAGTATAATTACAGGCTGCAACATTCCATCTTAGTCCTCCAGGCGTGACAACGCATCTGTAGCATTTTTGTTTGAAATTGGCAGGTGTTTATGAACCACAGTAATAGTAATTCAATCGGATGGCAATTCGACCCAACCGGAGGCGCAGGACACAAGGCTTTACGTACTTTCCAAGGCACAGGGGTGAAATACCACCAAGTTTCTGATTCTTGACTGAAAACGCCAATAAATGATTTTGTGCTCTTCTAAGACTTTAAAAGGAGATTATTTTATTAGATATTTTTAGTTTTTTGTAGCCTGTTAGTTGTCCCGGGTCTGGATGTTTGTCAATGTGCGATTTATGATGTAGTAACACCACCACATAAAAAGTCCCACTGGGAGGTAAGGTAATGTGTGTGTGTTTTATTCATATATCTAACAAAAAACGTACCTAGGCCCTTGTATAACTACGGCGGTTCCTTTCTCGTGACATCTATATCCTCTAGAAACCGCGGCGTCGAACAGAGCGCGTCGCGACTTCTCGCAAAACGCCGGACGCATAGGCAAGTGGCACACGCCTCTAGGGCCGCCTTCAGTGCGGTCGTAGAATGTGCATTTTCGACCCCATGTCCTGATAAATAAACAAGCTGCATAGTTAGGTAAGTGGATGCTGTGGCCCATACACATTTACATTAATCCTCGATTAAGAATCAAAATGCAGATGTGTTGTCACCGCTGAGGACTGAGATGAAATACCTCATTTTCAGTAAAAAGGGTCTCCGATTATCTACACCAGTGGAACATAAAAGCCGAGAATATACTTCATAGAAATAATATATAAAATACACTCCATAGAAGCCGAGAAGCCGGCCTTGCTCTATCAAACTGTTCAATCAATAATACGAGTATCAACTAACAAAATAACTCGTAAACTGTTTCAAAATTCTACACAGTTCCTTTGTTCTACACAGGTCATGACCCCGTAGCCTTAGCGATACTGCTGTCATAAAAAAGGAGTTGAATTGAGCGATTAGTGGTCTCTCTCGCACACGTGAGCTTTTTACCATAGTAGTCGCAGCCTTCTGTGTGCTTTGTTAAACACGTCCTCGACAGCACTGAATATGAAACTGAAGAGTGGAGACAGATCAGGATTGGTGTATTTTTATAAAACTGCTAAAAACAACAAAAAACAATATCTTGGGCTTGCCCTAATTTGGAGCCCTAGCTTCATCACTGCTCTACTCTCACCATACGAAACACAAAAGCATTAAGCTGATATTTTACTCTGGTATGTAATTAATAAATGTATTATTATTATTGTTATTATGTATTCTGTGAGAGCTTGGTCGTAGCCTAGTAGAGCCAACCCATTCGCGCTACAATCATAATATAACTGCAGCGTGACTTTAGCACGTAAAAATTAAAAGCTATAAATTCCGTAAAATTAGTTCTATTAAATTTGTAGTATTCGTGTTAGTATATACGAAAAATTATAAAAGAATTTAGTTTTTTTATGCTAATTATATTTAGTCTGTGATGACATAAAGTTCAATTGCTGGATTACATGGGCTAGGTAGTGCTAGTGAATCTCTTATGCCTATATATATACAGTATGTCCGGTCACGGACTAGCGATATTTTAGGTACTTATAATACAGCTATTTTAATATAAAAATACACTACACTGAGGTCTAATCCCCTCCCCCTCTATTTGACAGCCATTTTGTTTTTTTCTTGAGATATTCTCTACGCGTTTACGAAAAAAGTCATATCTCTCAAAGTTTTAGTCTTACTGAGATAAAAATTAACTCATTCGGAGGCCAATAACAGTCGCGGCGCCGACATCGGCGCTGTTCTGTGCTGCCTGCTCTCAAATTATACTACTTATAAATGATGATTCTGATTCTCTGATCTCTAATTCATCGAAGATCATAAGTAATCTCAGATTACTATTACTCCTAGGCAGGCAGTGCCAGTTGTCATTTAACAAAGGCCTTTTGTGTTTGCGCATATGCTATGTTCAAACAACAATAATTCTTAAAGTAATAGAGATACAGCTGTAAACTTTATGTTGTATTGTAGCTTAACTCAAAATCTGTCGATCTAGTATAAAAATAAAAAGGGTGAACGGGGTTGTTTTTGCAGTAATTTACAATAATTTGCCGATTAGCATATTTTTTTGATATTTATTTGAAGATAAATTTTTTTTCTTCAAAGTTACAAGTATGTCAACAAAAACTTTGATAATGTAAGCGATAAACAATATTATATTGGCCTCCGAATGAGTAAATTTTTATCTCAGTAAGACTAAAACTTTAAGAGATATGACTTTTTTCGTAAACGCGTAGAGAATATCTCAAGAAAAAAACAAAATGGCTGCCAAATAGAGGGGGGAGGGGATTAGACCTCAGTGTGTAGTGTATTTTTATATTAAAATAGCTGTATTATGGCTGATTTACACAGGGTCAGTAGACAAGTCAGTCGCAGCGCCAATGTCGGCGCCGCGACTGACTTTAACTGTTTACATGAAGTAAGTAGTAGTGGTGCGTTTCTCACGGTGAGCACACGTGTGTGAAGTCAGTGGGAAATATGAATTCGCGAAAACAAATGAAACGACGATTTAATTATTTGTTGAAAAATTTATCAATTTTGCTGTTGAATGAGTTAATAGAAATGGTAGAAAATGAGATAACTAAAAATAAACGACAATGGGTAAGAAAATGGATTGACGATAGAAACGAAACTGGTGGCCCTGCTTTGTTGCTGAAGCAATTGCGATTTGAAGATCCTGCGGAGTACAAACTGGCTATGAGGATGTCACCACAGAATTTTGACGAATTGCTGTCAATGATATCGAGCTCTATTCAACGACATGATACATTCATGAGAGATGCTTTACCAGCCAAAATTAAACTGGAAATAACGCTGACATTTTTGGCTTCAGGAATGAACTATCGGTTCCTTAGTCACTTTTATCGTGTCTCAAAACCAGCAATTTCTCAAGTAATACCAGAAGTGTGCTGGGCAATATATACGGCACTAAAAACACATATGAAGGTAAAAAAAAATTATTATTAAATTATTAGAAAATTAAGAAATACAACATCAAAATAGTATTAAGAATTTTCATAGGCACGCATAATCGTACGAGGGTGGATCGAAAAGTACTCGGCCTAACACAGATCCATTCAATTCTAAAAATCAAATCTACCCACATTATTTAGTTCAGTTCAGACTAGTTCATTGTGTGAAGTTCGAAACGTGTGCGATAATTAGTTGTGATTTTATAAATTTATTAACAAAGTAATCGGACATAATTTCCGCGAATGGAGCAAATCGAGCAACGTGCCGTCATTAAGTACCTCCATAAGAAGGGGCTATCATCAAAAGCCATCCATGATGACATGGTCAGTACATTAGGCGATTGTGTCAAAAAATGGATAGCAGAATTTAAGCGTGGTAGCGAGAGTGTGAAAGATGAACCCCGCTCTGGAAGGCCTTCGACGTCAACTACTGACGAAAATATTAAAAAAGTACTTGATTTAATAATGGGAGACCGCAGATTAAAAATTAGAGAGATAGCCTAGATTATAGGCATCTCTTATGAACGAACTCAAAACATCATTGTCAACGAGTTGGGTTTCCACAAGGTGTCTGCGAGGTGGGTTCCGCGACTGCTTTCAGTTGAACAAAAAAAGGACGCGATTGACTATTTCACGCGACTGTTTGGAGTTATTTGAAGCCGATGCAGATGATTTTTTGAATCGTTTTGTTACTATGGACGAAACATGGGTTCATTACTGTACACCGGAAACAAAACAACAATCAAAACAATGGAGAAGACCTGGTTCACCACCCCCTAAAAAGGCTAAGTCGATTTTGTCGGCAAATAAGGTGATGGCTTCAGTATTCTGGGACTCGAAAGGTGTGATTATGATTGATTATCTTGAAAGGGGTCAGACTATAAACTCTGATTACTACTGCACCTTACTACGTCGTTTACGAGAGGAAATAAAAGAAAAACGTCGAGGAATGGTCAGAAGAAAAGTCCTGTTTCATCAAGATAACGCCCGTGTTCACACGTCAGTACAGTCAATGGCTGAAATTCACAACTGTGGCTTTGAACTGTTACCGCATCCGCCGTATTCACCTGATCTGGCACCATCAGACTTCTTTCTGTTCCCTAACCTAAAAAAGCACTTGGGAGGTCAAAGATTTTCGACAAACGACGAGGTCAAAGCAGCTGTAGACGCATATTTTGACTCTCAGGAAGAATCATTTTTTTTCAACGGTCTAAATGCTTGGAAGGGGAGGTGGCAAAAGTGTATTGAACTTGGTGGTGATTATGTAGAAAAATAAAAATATAACTGATTTAGTATGTGTTTATTTTCTTGGTTAGGCCGAGTACTTTTCAATCCACCCTCGTATTAACAGCAGTGTTATTTTCACTTTCAGCTTCTTCGTTGATCGTGGTGCTGTAATTCAAACCTGAGGGTGTAATAATAACCTGCCTGGGGTTTACAAATGTAGGGTTCGTTGATCGATTGGAAGGATGAAATCCTAAAGAGCTGTTGCTAGTGGCAGACTCGGCAACCTCTGGCGGGTAAAATGTTATGGTGTTGTCGCTTGATGCAGTCATTGGGTTGGGCTCCAGGGAGTAAAATCCCATGCTACTTGTGCTGCTTGTTGTAGTTGCTGCCGGACTAGGGATAAAATAGTTAGGGGATGAAGAGTGTGCATTTTCTGTATACTTCTTTTGTTGTATATCAGCCAATCTAGCTTTGGATAATATTTTTTGGATCTCTTCTTGTGCAATAACAGATTGTTCTTCAGACAGTTTTTTTAGTTGAGCTGCCAAATGTTTACCGAAAATATCAGCGTCAGACTCTTCTTCAAATGGTGACATATTCAAATGGTTTCAATACCAAGTGGAATTTCCCTTCATGTTATAGAGCAATCGATGGGAAGCATATTATAATTAAAGCTCCTCCAAATAGTGGAAGTGAATTTTATAATTATAAAAAAACCAATAGTACAGTATTGTTAGCACTTGTAGACCACGACTATTGTTTTTCATATATAGACGTTGGAGCGAATGGAAACGCCTCTGATGGAGGTGTTTTCAAAAATTCCTCATTATATCGAAGAATTATTTACTAAAACCCTATCCAGGTACGCAGCTAAGTAATGCCGAAAAAGTCTTTAACTACAGGTTGTCGCGTGCAAGGCGCATAAGTGAAAATGCTTTTGGTATACTGGTTTCTAGATTCCGAGTGTTCGAAAAAGCAATTCCAACCCATGTGGACACAGTTGATGCCGTTGTCTGTGCAGCCTGTGCCCTGCATAATTGGTTGCGAAAGTGTTCAAGTTCCTACATAACATCTACTTGTGTAGACAGAGAGGACAATGATGGACAAATAATAGAAGGAACATGGAGATCGGAAATAAATCCACTACCAAGCATTTCAGAAAAACAAAGAGGCAACCATTCCATGACTGCTAAAGAAAAAAGAGACCTATATAGGAACTTCTTTATGACTGCTGGAAGTGTGCCATGGCAATTGGATAGAATTCATTAATTTTGCATAGGTACCTAGGATGGAAATAAAATAAATAAGTTACATAAATACTTACCATTGTTTTCCTTTTTACAATAGCATTTTTTTATAAAGCCGTCCAGTTCTTGAAACCACTTGACTTTTGGGACATATACGTTCCCACCAGCGCCAGATCTGGTGGATTTTTGTATCTTGTCGAGCTCTAAATAATATGTAGCCCTTATGGCTTTAATTTTATTTTTTACTTCAGTAGAAGTGAGCCCTCCGATTTGCATTTGTTGAGCCATATTTTGCAACGCTGTTGACCGTATTTCTTTATTGCGGTAATTTTGGGATTTAATATCCCAAAGGCACTCGTTTTCGCCATATAATTGCACCAATTTTAAGGTTTCGTCTTCGCTAAGCTTACGCGTCATTTTTATCGCCAGCGAAAAAAACGTGGTCACTCTACAACGCAGCGGCAGTGACTAACCACGCACTGACTTGTCTGTTTACACGGGGTTTATTTGGCTGGCGCGGGGGTGCGCGGGTAGCGGGGGGCGCCAACTGACTTTCAAATATTCGTGTCCGAATATTCAAGTCAGCGCTGACTTCAAGCCACTGTACTGACTTCAAATCAGTTTACACAAGTTTTTTTTCGGGTCAGCACTGACTTGCCTCGAATTTGTAGTCAGTTACTGACCCTGTGTAAATCAGCCATTATAAGTACCTAAAATATCGCTAGTCCGTGAGCACACACACACACACACACTATATATATATATATATATATTATTGTACGATCTCATAAATTATTAAGACAAGTAAATGTAAAATATACCTATCAATGAAGTCGTCCAAAATGACGAGATCTCCCGGTTTGTATTCTTCAACCAGAGATCCCGTGGCCGTGGTAGCAAGCACGTGTGTACATCCGGCCTCTTTCAGTGCCCAAATATTGGCTCGGTAGTTGACATCACTTAAAAAAAATTAATCAAATTCATAAATTTTTAAGTTATATACATTTTCAATTTGGATAACCGTTTTTATTATCTGGAAAAAAATTGGGTGTAACATGTTAACAGACTAGAAGCCTATGACACTGATATTTTACAAAAAAATAAAAACAAAAATTTTGAATTAAACATTCGAAAAAAAAATTTTGAACAATTACTTTGCCCTTGAGCCTGTGACCCTGCGAAGTGAAGAGGTCAAAGATGCCTACTAAATTTATTGTTTTATTGCCGTTCGTAAAGTAGGGTGGATATGATTTAAATTTCAATACATTTTAATTTATTTCTTTATTTAATTCAAAAATTTTGGTTTTATTTTTTTGTAAAATATCAGTGCCATAGGTCCCTAAAACTATAGTTTACTCTTTGACAAGTCAATCAATTTTTGAATTCTTATTAATAAACATATACTTCCTCTTAGGTTTTAGTGATTCTCCTTCTAACTTATCAATCTGTAAATGTCCAAGGCTGGACTATCCCTCTCATGTCATAGGGAAGATTAGCCCTTAATCTAGGCCAGGCAGGCGTATTGACGATTGCAGCGAAAGATGCCTCGGCTCTTTGCCGCTGTTCCTCATTGCCGGTCTGGTTATTCATGACGTCCTGGTATTTCCTGTCTCATCCATGTGGTGGCGAATTAAGAATATTTACTATCCCATACCGTAGCATGGGTGTCGTAAGAAGCGGCAGAGTGAAATGGACCAGGAAATGGGCAGTAGCGTCTTCGTAATAAAACGAAGTAAAAAAAATATCTCCCCATGAGATAACGATATTATCTCTCCGTCCGTAAATTCGTACCGGCGGTCACGAAGGAGATTTCTGTTCTAGGTATGGTGGGTTGTCAATATACGCTTCATGATCTAACAGATTATGGAAGTTTGCCAATAGTTGAATTTGGCTAATAGTCGACAGGATCTAGATTTTGCAAGGTTTTAAGAACCTCATTTTCTGTTGATATTTCATATTAAATATGTATTTAAGTATAGTAATTTTGCATTGAAATTTCCCCGAATTTCGAATTTTTTGACTATTTTCGAGTTGCTGATGAGCATGACAAATTTAACTAGTAGTAGTTAGGTACTATTACAAGTCAATTTTTTTAAAGTTTTATAAAAAAAATTAAAAAAAAAATATAAAAATTAAAAATTTAATAGTTTAATATTTATTTGAAGATAAATTTTTTTTCTTCAAAGTTACAAGTATGTCAACAAAAACTTTGATAATGTAAGCGATAAACAATATTATATTGGCCTCCGAATGAGTAAATTTTTATCTCAGTAAGACTAAAACTTTAAGAGATATGACTTTTTTCGTAAACGCGTAGAGAATATCTCAAGAAAAAAACAAAATGGCTGCCAAATAGAGGGGGAGGGGATTAGACCTCAGTGTGTAGTGTATTTTTATATTAAAATAGCTGTATTATGGCTGATTTACACAGGGTCAGTAGACAAGTCAGTCGCAGCGCCAATGTCGGCGCCGCGACTGACTTTAACTGTTTACATGAAGTAAGTAGTAGTGGTGCGTTTCTCACGGTGAGCACATGTGTGTGAAGTCAGTGGGAAATATGAATTCGCGAAAACAAATGAAACGACGATTTAATTATTTGTTGAAAAATTTATCAATTTTGCTGTTGAATGAGTTAATAGAAATGGTAGAAAATGAGATAACTAAAAATAAACGACAATGGGTAAGAAAATGGATTGACGATAGAAACGAAACTGGTGGCCCTGCTTTGTTGCTGAAGCAATTGCGATTTGAAGATCCTGCGGAGTACAAACTGGCTATGAGGATGTCACCACAGAATTTTGACGAATTGCTGTCAATGATATCGAGCTCTATTCAACGACATGATACATTCATGAGAGATGCTTTACCAGCCAAAATTAAACTGGAAATAACGCTGACATTTTTGGCTTCAGGAATGAACTATCGGTTCCTTAGTCACTTTTATCGTGTCTCAAAACCAGCAATTTCTCAAGTAATACCAGAAGTGTGCTGGGCAATATATACGGCACTAAAAACACATATGAAGGTAAAAAAAAATTATTATTAAATTATTAGAAAATTAAGAAATACAACATCAAAATAGTATTAAGAATTTTCATAGGCACGCATAATCGTACGAGGGTGGATCGAAAAGTACTCGGCCTAACACAGATCCATTCAATTCTAAAAATCAAATCTACCCACATTATTTAGTTCAGTTCAGACTAGTTCATTGTGTGAAGTTCGAAACGTGTGCGATAATTAGTTGTGATTTTATAAATTTATTAACAAAGTAATCGGACATAATTTCCGCGAATGGAGCAAATCGAGCAACGTGCCGTCATTAAGTACCTCCATAAGAAGGGGCTATCATCAAAAGCCATCCATGATGACATGGTCAGTACATTAGGCGATTGTGCTCTTATTCATCCGTCAAAAAATGGATAGCAGAATTTAAGCGTGGTAGCGAGAGTGTGAAAGATGAACCCCGCTCTGGAAGGCCTTCGACGTCAACTACTGACGAAAATATTAAAAAAGTACTTGATTTAATAATGGGAGACCGCAGATTAAAAATTAGAGAGATAGCCTAGATTATAGGCATCTCTTATGAACGAACTCAAAACATCATTGTCAACGAGTTGGGTTTCCACAAGGTGTCTGCGAGGTGGGTTCCGCGACTGCTTTCAGTTGAACAAAAAAGGACGCGATTGACTATTTCACGCGACTGTTTGGAGTTATTTGAAGCCGATGCAGATGATTTTTTGAATCGTTTTGTTACTATGGACGAAACATGGGTTCATTACTGTACACCGGAAACAAAACAACAATTAAAACAATGGAGAAGACCTGGTTCACCACCCCCTAAAAAAGGCTAAGTCGATTTTGTCGGCAAATAAGGTGATGGCTTCAGTATTCTGGGACTCGAAAGGTGTGATTATGATTGATTATCTTGAAAGGGGTCAGACTATAAACTCTGATTACTACTGCACCTTACTACGTCGTTTACGAGAGGAAATAAAAGAAAAACGTCGAGGAATGGTCAGAAGAAAAGTCCTGTTTCATCAAGATAACGCCCGTGTTCACACGTCAGTACAGTCAATGGCTGAAATTCACAACTGTGGCTTTGAACTGTTACCGCATCCGCCGTATTCACCTGATCTGGCACCATCAGACTTCTTTCTGTTCCCTAACCTAAAAAAGCACTTGGGAGGTCAAAGATTTTCGACAAACGACGAGGTCAAAGCAGCTGTAGACGCATATTTTGACTCTCAGGAAGAATCATTTTTTTTCAACGGTCTAAATGCTTGGAAGGGGAGGTGGCAAAAGTGTATTGAACTTGGTGGTGATTATGTAGAAAAATAAAAATATAACTGATTTAGTATGTGTTTATTTTCTTGGTTAGGCCGAGTACTTTTCAATCCACCCTCGTATTAACAGCAGTGTTATTTTCACTTTCAGCTTCTTCGTTGATCGTGGTGCTGTAATTCAAACCTGAGGGTGTAATAATAACCTGCCTGGGGTTTACAAATGTAGGGTTCGTTGATCGATCGGAAGGATGAAATCCTAAAGAGCTGTTGCTAGTGGCAGACTCGGCAACCTCTGGCGGGTAAAATGTTATGGTGTTGTCGCTTGATGCAGTCATTGGGTTGGGCTCCAGGGAGTAAAATCCCATGCTACTTGTGCTGCTTGTTGTAGTTGCTGCCGGACTAGGGATAAAATAGTTAGGGGATGAAGAGTGTGCATTTTCTGTATACTTCTTTTGTTGTATATCAGCCAATCTAGCTTTGGATAATATTTTTTGGATCTCTTCTTGTGCAATAACAGATTGTTCTTCAGACAGTTTTTTTAGTTGAGCTGCCAAATGTTTACCGAAAATATCAGCGTCAGACTCTTCTTCAAATGGTGACATATTCAAATGGTTTCAATACCAAGTGGAATTTCCATTCATGTTATAGAGCAATCGATGGGAAGCATATTATAATTAAAGCTCCTCCAAATAGTGGAAGTGAATTTTATAATTATAAAAAAACCAATAGTACAGTATTGTTAGCACTTGTAGACCACGACTATTGTTTTTCATATATAGACGTTGGAGCGAATGGAAACGCCTCTGATGGAGGTGTTTTCAAAAATTCCTCATTATATCGAAGAATTATTTACTAAAACCCTATCCAGGTACGCAGCTAAGTACTGCCGAAAAAGTCTTTAACTACAGGTTGTCGCGTGCAAGGCGCATAAGTGAAAATGCTTTTGGTATACTGGTTTCTAGATTCCGAGTGTTCGAAAAAGCAATTCCAACCCATGTGGACACAGTTGATGCCGTTGTCTGTGCAGCCTGTGCCCTGCATAATTGGTTGCGAAAGCGTTCAAGTTCCTACATAACATCTACTTGTGTAGACAGAGAGGACAATGATGGACAAATAATAGAAGGAACATGGAGATCGGAAATAAATCCACTACCAAGCATTTCAGAAAAACAAAGAGGCAACCATTCCATGACTGCTAAAGAAAAAAGAGACCTATATAGGAACTTCTTTATGACTGCTGGAAGTGTGCCATGGCAATTGGATAGAATTCATTAATTTTGCATAGGTACCTAGGATGGAAATAAAATAAATAAGTTACATAAATACTTACCATTGTTTTCCTTTTTACAATAGCATTTTTTATAAAGCCGTCCAGTTCTTGAAACCACTTGACTTTTGGGACATATACGTTCCCACCAGCGCCAGATCTGGTGGATTTTTGTATCTTGTCGAGCTCTAAATAATATGTAGCCCTTATGGCTTTAATTTTATTTTTTACTTCAGTAGAAGTGAGCCCTCCGATTTGCATTTGTTGAGCCATATTTTGCAACGCTGTTGACCGTATTTCTTTATTGCGGTAATTTTGGGATTTAATATCCCAAAGGCACTCGTTTTCGCCATATAATTGCACCAATTTTAAGGTTTCGTCTTCGCTAAGCTTACGCGTCATTTTTATCGCCAGCGAAAAAAACGTGGTCACTCTACAACGCAGCGGCAGTGACTAACCACGCACTGACTTGTCTGTTTACACGGGGTTTATTTGGCTGGCGCGGGGGGTGCGCGGGTAGCGGGGGGCGCCAACTGACTTTCAAATATTCGTGTCCGAATATTCAAGTCAGCGCTGACTTCAAGCCACTGTACTGACTTCAAATCAGTTTACACAAGTTTTTTTTTCGGGTCAGCACTGACTTGCCTCGAATTTGTAGTCAGTTACTGACCCTGTGTAAATCAGCCATTATAAGTACCTAAAATATCGCTAGTCCGTGAGCACACACACACACACACACATACACTGTATATATATATATTATTGTACGATCTCATAAATTATTAAGACAAGTAAATGTAAAATATACCTATCAATGAAGTCGTCCAAAATGACGAGATCTCCCGGTTTGTATTCTTCAACCAGAGATCCCGTGGCCGTGGTAGCAAGCACGTGTGTACATCCGGCCTCTTTCAGTGCCCAAATATTGGCTCGGTAGTTGACATCACTTAAAAAAAATTAATCAAATTCATAAATTTTTAAGTTATATACATTTTCAATTTGGATAACCGTTTTTATTATCTGGAAAAAAATTGGGTGTAACATGTTAACAGACTAGAAGCCTATGACACTGATATTTTACAAAAAAATAAAAACAAAAATTTTGAATTAAACATTCGAAAAAAAAATTTTGAACAATTACTTTGCCCTTGAGCCTGTGACCCTGCGAAGTGAAGAGGTCAAAGATGCCTACTAAATTTATTGTTTTATTGCCGTTCGTAAAGTAGGGTGGATATGATTTAAATTTCAATACATTTTAATTTATTTCTTTATTTAATTCAAAAATTTTGGTTTTATTTTTTTGTAAAATATCAGTGCCATAGGTCCCTAAAACTATAGTTTACTCTTTGACAAGTCAATCAATTTTTGAATTCTTATTAATAAACATATACTTCCTCTTAGGTTTTAGTGATTCTCCTTCTAACTTATCAATCTGTAAATGTCCAAGGCTGGACTATCCCTCTCATGTCATAGGGAAGATTAGCCCTTAATCTAGGCCAGGCAGGCGTATTGACGATTGCAGCGAAAGATGCCTCGGCTCTTTGCCGCTGTTCCTCATTGCCGGTCTGGTTATTCATGACGTCCTGGTATTTCCTGTCTCATCCATGTGGTGGCGAATTAAGAATATTTACTATCCCATACCGTAGCATGGGTGTCGTAAGAAGCGGCAGAGTGAAATGGACCAGGAAATGGGCAGTAGCGTCTTCGTAATAAAACGAAGTAAAAAAAATATCTCCCCATGAGATAACGATATTATCTCTCCGTCCGTAAATTCGTACCGGCGGTCACGAAGGAGATTTCTGTTCTAGGTATGGTGGGTTGTCAATATACGCTTCATGATCTAACAGATTATGGAAGTTTGCCAATAGTTGAATTTGGCTAATAGTCGACAGGATCTAGATTTTGCAAGGTTTTAAGAACCTCATTTTCTGTTGATATTTCATATTAAATATGTATTTAAGTATAGTAATTTTGCATTGAAATTTCCCCGAATTTCGAATTTTTTGACTATTTTCGAGTTGCTGATGAGCATGACAAATTTAACTAGTAGTAGTTAGGTACTATTACAAGTCAATTTTTGTTTTAAATTCCAATAAACTTGGTACCTCGGTTGGTACTGGTGCTTGCGTCCATGTCTCGCCAGTAGCACGCATGGCACACCTTTTATCTGTCCCTGAAGTAGTATATCTGAGGGTTTACCAAACGGCGTGTTCACATGCAGCTCAATAGGGTTTTCAAACAATGAGGGATCGTCGAAGCCAGAGCCACCAATGATACCGATCTGTAAGTTTTGTGGGTTATTATTAACTAAATGTTTAATATAATTGACTGTTATAATATTATTTTACTTTAAAAAAAGGGATAAAGTTGCATTAATGATGGTCCAAAATTAATAAATAAAAGATTCAATAATTAAAGCAAATCAGTTCACAATAAAACAACAAAAAACTTTGTCAAATAATTTATTTCTTAATGCAAAATATATTATGTAATAACTACTTTGAATCAACAATGTATTCTACATTATATAACAGACAAATGCTCAAAAACTGAAATATATATCAAATATTACTTTTTATCTTCCAATCCTTGCTGGAACTTAACTTCTTTTGTTGTTTCATGTGCTTTCTTTAAGCTTTGAGCCAGTTCAAAGAATTTTTTTGACTTATCTAAGTCTTTATCGACACCATCGCCTTTTTTGTACATCAAGCTTACATTAGCACAAGCATAAATATTACCAAGTTCACATGCTTTATTTGCAAACTGAAATGCTTGCTTAAGATCTGGTTTAATTAAATAGTCTATATTTTTGTTTTTCTCTGGATTATGTGGATTGTAGTCTACTACATTTCTTGGTACTCCAGCAAGATACATTCCAGACAGGTAATGGCATGCCATATCGTCATTCTGATCACAACTTTTCTTAAGGTAGTTGTAACCTATAACAAAAACATAATAACAATAAAAATACATTGCTGACAAACTTTTAATCAGTTTAGGATGAAACGCATATTCTTTTATCCTAAATGTAGTGGGGATGTAAGAATATCCATTACCCCGTATCGTCCCATGGGTGTCGGAAGAGGCAACAGGAAAATTGAAACAGGTGATGGGCCGCAACATCTTCCTGATAAAAAAGTTAAAATAATCAAAAACTGCAGTTGAAATTCTGCTCGCCAAGTGTGCCAACTATGGCAAAATCCCCCCTATGAGGCAATCTATGGGGGAGGCCTTTGTTCAATGGTGGACATTTGTAGGCTGTGATGATGATGATGATGAAAACAAAAATAACCCTTTAAAAACCGATTAAACGAGTATCAAGTTCTACAGAATGTAAGTAAATACAATTAAATGGTGTTCAGATGAGAGTTTATTCTTCATACCATAAAACCTTTTTAGCATTCGTCACCTTAGATATGCCTTAAAAAAGCCCTAAAGGAGGATGGCCAAATTGTACCAGACAACCATATCTCATATATGATAGAATCCTAATATGAAATATTTATGTAAAATACTCTTATTGTTTAAGGTCTTAAAACACACAAGAAATACCTCTCTAAGTGGCCACAAAAAAAGTTATCCATTTATTTCTATTTTTGTAACTGTTTAAAATTATTTCAAATAATAGTTTCAGAACGCATCTAATGACGATTCATTTCATGTATGAAAGGACTTAGTATTTGAAGACTATAATTATTCACATTTTTATGAATAGTTGTTAATTTTAATTCAATTCAATTAGTATGTAGACATCAAATCAACTACTATGCTGATTTATTACATATTGGATTCTTGTCATAAAAATAATTATGTAGGTCATAGTAAGTTAAATGTTTTGTTCAATTACATATGTACAACAGAACGTCATTTGTCATCGCTTAATCTGTGGTCATTGATCCGCACCAGTATTGTTATTTCCTTCTGTTGTTTTGACCTCGGTATTGTTTCACGGATTGATTTTTTCACATCTTGGATAATTGTGAGAGACATCATGCAAACTACACAACAAAAACAACTAGGCGATGCAATTGCTATGTGTTAATTGTAACATATGCATTGATGCACTTCGCCACCATCTCATTTTTGAGCTTGATACCAGAGTAATTTCTAAGATCTGCAAGTGGAATTCTTCAATAAAAGTACGTATTTACATACCTACTTATTTTATTACACTAACATAATACATCATTGCAATACAATCAATTATACATCATAATACAACTCTAATTCTTATTTTAGATCACTGAAGAAGATTACGTATGTGATGCCTGTCAGCAATTGGCAATACAGCATGTCAACTACGGGTTACCTAATGAACCTGGTGCCTCATCTTCCCGTGGCCAACAGGATTTTTGCATACTTTGTAGAAGTTCTCTGAGAAATCGTAAACGTGACCTTGTTATAAGAGAGAATCCATCACAGTTGCAACAGGCAATACATGTTGAGCTTGAAAATAGAATTGCCCCACGGCGGGTAATAATTACCATTTTATTTTGTACTTTTTTTTTTGTTTTGTCTTTGTATCAATGTTATAGTGAATTTATCACTGCAATTTTATATTGTTTTGTAAAAATGATTCTATTTTCTCGGATTTAATAATAATGAGCCAAAATATTTATATTAAGACAAGGCTGTACGGTTGTTTCAGGCAACTTCAATAGACCATGTTTGTCATCCCTGTTGGCTGAGACTAAAGAGAATTGCAATACATAATATGCAGCAGACAGAGCTGGAGCATGAGCTAGAGCCTCAACCCCAAGAACCTCAAAGCCCACCAAATACCGACCAGCAAGATGACGAAGCACTAAGGGTGATTAGTTAGCCGCAGTATAGACGAGCGGCAAATACTGCAGCACATTGTGTTTTTTTTGATTGCCAGAACACAGATTTGCATAGAATTTCTGACCCTCTAAGAGCAACAACTCTTAGCAAATACAAATATTACTTGCCTATAAATGCTCGTATTTGTGTAGAACATACATTTAGTACTGATTGGGATATGTTGTTCAATTCTCAAAATAGTTTGAGAACATTTACGGCTGAACAAGTGGAACATTCTCTTTCTTTTATAAATGCTTTCAACACATTTCTTGATTTCTCGAACATGGAAAGTGTTGAAATAATTAATGAGCATTTGTTTCATTATTGGCTTGGAATGAATAAGCAACAATTTGAACTTTTATTATATGAAACGCCGTGTCTTATAGAAACAAATAGAGGCATTTTAGGTTTAGGTAATCTTCTAATGAAGATGAGAACTGGTGAATCAGATGACCAGATGGTTATCACAGTTATTAATGGTTCCAAGGCGAACATTAGAAAGATGGATAAGGTTAGGTAAATATTGGTACAAGATTTTGTGCCTAGAAATCTGGGAATTGAACACATATCCCATGAGCAATTGTTGCAACACAATTTAATGATTCCAAATGCAATTTATAATCAAAATAATGAAATTTGCGATAATTATATGTATGTTTGTCCCATACATATATTTTTATAAACAAAAGTTGCAATTATATGTTCCAAAAGGACACATATTCCTTACATAAATACAAAAACTTGTTAAAACCATTTTTGCTGGTGACACCTGATGGCTACATTGTAGACCGCTTTGGCCCATACAAAGCTACCACAACTGATGCAGATATAATGAAGTCTCTTTTCAGAGATGAAAACTCTCCTCTCAGAACAATACTTACAAAAGAACAATGTTTTTATTCTAGACAGGGGATGTAGAGATTCAATTAGTTTGTTAGAGGTCTGCAGCTACAGAACATATATGCCGGAATCCCTGCTTGAGAGTGAACATCAGCTCACCACTGAGCAAACTAACAGGAGTTGTTGTGTGACCATATGCTGATGGGTGGTGGAAGTTGTTAACGGGTACTTTAAACAAGACTTTAAAATATTCCGGCAAGATTTTTTTAATAAAACTGTTCCACATATGATGCATATGTTTTCCAGAGCTGCAAGACTTTTAAAAAAATTTGGTGTTTAATTAAAAAACAGGAATGATGCGGAGCAAATCATAAATGTGATTAAAGAATGATTTCCATTAAATATTAAAATATCTGATTTTATAAATAGTATGAATATGAATATGAACGAGACGAACATCTGATTTTACTACTATTACAGCTCATTCCAATACTAATATTATATTCCTCCATTTAGAATATAGTGAAGTTATATTATTTGGCCTAGGAACATATCAGATTCAACAGGCAAGGTCCTATTATAGTGAACATGTTAGGTTTCACAGAGGGTATTGAATCGAAGGACTGTTGGGTGATGTGCACATCACGCTTATGTGGTACCTTGGGTGGGCCAGGCATCAGCCGACAATATCGCCAGTGCCAGCATCACTCCTTGATGTTGTAGTTGTAAGAGGATGATGAATAAAAAGTAATTTTGTCTAGCCTACTTGTTTCATTGAAGTACTTCTAAATTCTACCATTACACTTAATTTACTCCCGTAACCTACCATCACTCGATTTTTCAATACATATGCAACTTTAGTATTGAAGACTGAAGGACAGTAGCTATCTAGCGATAACTCTCTTCAGCTAGAATTGAAATGGTCAAACTACAAAAAAGCCTTGAAATCTTTCAGGAAAGACTTCGTGTGATAATAATTATGCCATCCTTGTTTTTTTACACTACATACTGTGCAAGCTAGTGCAACATATGTAGGTGTAGTTTTTATTGGATTATCAGTCATAATTTGTCGTCGAAACGGTCAACTTCACAAGACGGTTTGACAGGTGGCCGTTTTTGACATGGAACTCTAGAAGTATGATGCACTGCACTTGCTTGTGCGCTTTGAGAGATGTTCTATTATTGGGTAACAAAATTATTTTAGAGAAATCTAAATAAATGGAAACGAGATCGCTAATTACCCTCCTCACTTATCGCCAACTACACTTATAGGCTACGTCGCAGTCGGATAAAGCGTCCAAGCAAGGTTTTTTTGTTAAAAATCAAAATGTACAATAAATTGCCTTTAGAAATAACAAGACTTCCATTATACGCGTTTCGACAAGTGACAAAAAAATACTTTTTGAATATATAATGATACATACATACATAATACATAAACACTCACGCCTGTCACCCAGAGGGGTAGGCAGAGACTACAGATTTCCATTTGGCACGATCCTGACACACCTCTCTCGCCTCCTTCACATCCATAAACCTACGCATACATGCTCGTCGGTTAAGGGTACTCCTAATTTGGCCCGTTAATCCGTTAATAATAAAGAATCTCCGGGAGGAAAACCGGCGACGAGGTTCGCCACCCGTCACGTTCTGTCTCCCGGAGAGGCGAAAAGTGGATTGCAGAGGCCCGTCTGGCTACGTTGAATGTATATAATGATATAGAAGAATATATGAAATGTTCATTTTCTGACTTGCTTGACATGTAAAATAATGTAAACGTAAATAAAGTGACATTTGTATTAATCTTGGCCTTTTTGGTTACTTCTGCTTCTACAATCTCTTCATTGACATTAATAATGTTTGATTTTGGCCAATCCGTCTCATTACGCTTGAACCATGCCGGGCCTTCCCACCATCTACTTTCCATAAGCTTCTTTGCGTCACAACCTCTTGATGGAATATCTGATGGATTGTACTCACCCGGTAGATGGTACCAATCGTCACAATAGAAACATTCAGTCAAAAATTGAAATATTTTTCAAAATATAACCGCATAGTTAGACTTGTGGCATGGATATTACGTATGAATTGTAAAATAAAAATAAAGTTTGACATAAAGGAGCCAGACATAACAAATGATGAATATATCAATGCAGAAAAGACACTAATTAAATTATTACAGAAAGAGAATTTTACAGAAGGGTTTTCGTTGCATAATATAAATACAGAAATAGATACCTACGGGGTGATAAGAGTAAAAACACGTTTAGAGTTGAGTAAAGAAGACAAGGATTTTGTAAGGCCAATACTTCTACCAGGAAAAAACGAAATCGTACAGTGGTTAGTGCAACAGAGACATGAAAAATTAAATCATGGAGGAACTCAGCTCTGTAATAACCTTCTTGAATCTACAACAATGGCCAATATATAAATAAAAAGTAAAAGGTATTTGTTCAGCCTTATAGCCAAATATTGTTGATGTTATTATAAAAAATCGTGGCCTATTAGATATTATTTTTAAACGTGATTGTGTTTACAATATAAAAACAAACGAATCTAACTATAGTTTGTTTTGAGACATGAAAAAAAGTCAAGTCCAGCTCCTATAGAAATTTTCCCATCCTCCTTTCAATGTTAGAATGTAAGAATATTTAAAGGTAATAAAGACTAAAAGATAGTAATAATAACTAATAAAGACAGCAACATTAGGTCAAGGGTTTCGAACTGAGAAAACCTGACACTAAAAGTACTCGGAATTCTTTTTTTATAGCATTAACCTCTCAATATGCACGCGGTCGGATCTGACCACGGCGATATTCCGTCAAATTCCAAGCGGTCAGATCCGACCACACCCACCCACAGCACTTTAAACTACAAATACTTATATTTAGAGAATACTTGTCTATGAAGAAGTTCGTCTTAAAGGCTAAATGTGAAATTTCCTATCCTCTAATCTGATACAATAAAACGTAGTTAGTCTATGGTTTTTTATTTATAATATAGGTTCATTTCGTACGCCTATTTCATGTGGCATGTTTTTGTGTTGATTTTTAGAATTTTCTAATGTTTTATAAGTGTTTCGTAGTTTTACTATAAAATTGTTATAAAAGTTTTTGTGTGCATACAATTTATAGGTTAATATTTCCAATATGGACCATCGATTTCGAAGCCCATATTTTTTTGTAGATAGTACTCACTAAAAGAAAGCGTTTGCAAAGTTGGCTTCTTACCCCCCTAGTCTCCAAAATTAACGAAATGTACTCAATACCAAGTAGTATTGATACTTTTGATACGATACTTGGTATGAGTATATCGATACTTTCAAAATATTCGGAACCCTACACTAATTGACGTTTGACATCAATCATTTGGTTATTTGCCAATTTGTATGAAAAGTTAAAAAAAATATATCTCATGAACCGTAAGTTTCCGCAACCTAAAACTTTGCAAAATGCTTTCTTTTAGTGAGTACTATCTACAAAAAAAATATGGGCTTCAAAATCGATGGTCCATATTGGAAATATTAGCCGAACTGGGAATTATAAACAGATTCCCAGTTCCAAAAGCATATAACTCCTGCATTTCATCTTTTAAAAGAGGGCTTTCAAATAAGCTTCGCAAAATCCTAAAAAAACGTTATAGAAAGCATAATGGATGCTCTCTGGTAGGAGAGTTTTTTGGTCTATTGCCAGTTGTTCAGACAAACTTATGTAGGCCTATGATGTCTCTGTTGTAAAAAGTGGGTGGCACACTAGTGCTAGTGCGACTGTCTACAGAGAAAGAGGGCTTTTTCACATTTTTTTTGGCTTAAAAAACTTGATCCGCCTCTCGGAAAGCCTGGAATACTGCACAGATTCTAGATGCAGTGTAAGTGGCAACCCGAGCCGAAAAAAAAACCAGCTGTACTGACTCTGCTAATTATAAGCCAATCTGAATTACCTTTATACTCTGCAAGATTATGAAGTGAATATTAATAGACCACCTTATGGCGTAGTACCTAACGCAGAATAGGGTGGCCTCCTCATAGGGCGACTGTATAGGGTCCACCATAATTGATCAACAGGGAGTTTTAGTGTATGCCACACACACATAGAGCGAGGCTACAGAGATATATGAGAAAGTAATTACGGTTTTCTTGATATCTCAAAGAGCTTTGACAGGGTCTGGCAAACGAGCCTTTTGGACAAACTTTTAGTGTACTATTACATTATTCTATGGTCGGGTCTAACGTGGTAGTGTAAGGATGGATATCCACTTCCTATCCCCCCCATATCATCCCGACTGTGTCGTAAAAGACCTCAGAAGGAAAATAAAACAGGGCAGCAGCATCTTGCTGATAACAACTTAAAATGATAAAAAATTGTATTTGGCAACCTGCTTACAAAATGTGGCAACTATGGCAAAATCCCCCCATGGAGCACTCTATGTGGGAATCAGCAGTGGACTTTTATAGGCTGTATTGGATAGAATAGATGGTCTGATTGACTGGGTGATAAGCTTTTAAGTAAGTAAACGGTCTCTGAGTAGATGTCAATGTTTTTGGAAGAGCAGCTCCAAGCATATGGTGACTAAATCTAGAGTACTCAGGAAGGACTCTTTACCAAAATTCTCTTGCCACTACATATCAATGACAGCACAGCTATGGAAAGATATCAGCCGAGTGCTCGGGCCATATGGATCAAATGCAGTATTTTTTAAATTTCTTTACAATCCTCAGAATGCTGGTTGAATTGAAATTTTTAGTTGACTGATTCCTAGGACTACTTAGAAATAAATTTATAAAAAACCTCTATATTCATTGCTTTTACCTTTGAAAACGATTACTTATGGACTTGCTTCGAGGAGTCAAGTGAGATAACAAATTTCGTGCTATTTTAGGTGTTTTATTTTTATTTGCAGAACTGTTGATTTACTTTAATTAATCTTTACTTGTTATTTTAAACCTACACCAAGATTTTAAATTATAAATTACTTCGTAAGTTCTAATTAGTTGTGTTGTTTTATAAGTAATCTCCTAAAAAAAAAATGACTAAGCAAGATGCAATAATGCAGCAAAATGGTTATGTAGCTCTGAAATTCCTGACTTAAAAACAAGGTATCTAGAACCATCTTCTTTTTACCATATCACTATTTACGTCACATTTTTAAAACTGTTGAGGTTTTAAATAAAATACATTTACCTTTAGGTACATCCCTTTGAACTGTAACTTCAGAACCGGTGTTTGTGAGCAAAACACCAGCATGCAGACATGATACCGGATCACTTAGTTCACATCCTTTTTCAAAATATTGCAATGCTTCCTTAGGGTCTGGCTTATCCCGTCCGCGCCCAATTAAGGCGTAGTTTCCATATTTTAAGCAAGATTTACCAAAGTTATAATCCAGACAATTGTTTTTATAGACAACAGCGGCTTTTCTATAATCCTTTTTTATTGCTTCTAAGTAGTCGCCCAAAAGTTGACATACTTCTGGCTTTTTTTCATGATAACAACCGAACCGATACTCGATACCTAAGTTTTCCACGTATTGTTTAACATCCTCTTCCTTTTGTAAGTTATAGGCCATGGTTATTTCTCAGTTTTATCACTTTCGTCACTAAACACAAGTACAACACCGATTCCGAGGTTAGATAACACTCAAAGTCAAACTCAATTCGATCAAATGTCAAAATGATAACGTTTATCAATTTAATAGGCAAGTCAACTGACGAACAAATACATTATTTCATTTTAAGTTACGGATAACCATTTCTTTGAAATAATTTTCCCGATAAACAAAATATTATTTATCATACCCGCTCAATATTAAATACATTTCATGTATGTAATAACAAATTTAAGAAAAAAGTACTTTATTTTACCTTTTTCTCACAGTCACCCATAATCTAAGTTTCAAGTAATGATATGGTAAATTAGGAATAATTGAAAATAATTTAACAAATAATGAAAGTTAATATGATTATAGTCAATAATTTTAAATAGTGTGTTTGTTTCAATTGGTTTCAATTCAACAAAACAGTTAACAGCGGTTAACAGAATAAATGACAGTGACCATAGATTACTGATTACTGACTCTCTAGTATATAGTCAGTAATCTATGTTACTGACCACAGAACACTATGTTACTGACTATGTACTATATAGACAGTGACAGTCCTTTATTTATTTCCCGAAGATCTCAAAGTAAAGCTGAGAACAAAAGACGCGGCTTATTGAAATCTAGCCAGTACATTTAATACTACACTGTGCAAACTATCGGTCTTAAGACGCGGACATGACCTTGCGTTGCTCTTGAGCGTTCGGACGTCCGAACAGAATCTAGCCCGGTTGGATGTTTGTGCGGCCGCGGACAGTGTGAACGGGATACGGGACGCGTCCGCGGACGTTTCGAGTATCACAAGCGAACCAACTGCGCTCGCGACATGATGTGTGATGAAGAAAAATTTATTGAATGTGTTCGTGGCCACGAATGGCTATATAACCACAAACCACAGCACCATAAATGTATTTATTCTGAAGTACATTTTGTAACGTTTATCATCTTTTTGTAAATCTGGATATATTGTATGAAGTTCACCATACTCGAGTCGTTTTACATTAATATCATGGACAAGGAGTGTTTGGGTCCCCTTTTTTTTTGGAGGACGACATAGAGCAGCTGCCGCTAACTTTATAAATTCGTCCTCGCTGTCACTGTTTGTCATGTTTCTCGATTGACAAACCTTTATGGAATGACCGAAGCGAGGCGTCCGAGGACGCCGTCTCAGCTACCGTGCACACCGCTAAGCCGCGTCTGTCAGCCGCGGCTGACGGACGCGTCCGATAATTTGTTCTCAGCTTAAGGCCGACCACAAAAATAGGTACGGAATTCCGTTTCGGGATTCCGTTTCGGGATTCTGTTTCAGAATTCCGATTCGGGATCCAGAACGTAGCAAGTCCATATAATATCAATGACCAGTTGCACACCTACGGTACGGGACTGCCATATACATAAATTAATTTAAATTCGGAATCCAAAACGGAACGAACGTGTTGGACACCCACATACGGAATCACATTTTACCCCAAAAATTTCGAATGGAAAACTAACGTAGGTGTGTGACGGGTCTTGATTTTATATGGACTTGCTGCGTTCGGAATCGCGAATCGTAATTCCGAAACGGAATCTTGAAACTGAATTCCGTATGTATGTGGCGGGCCTTAGACAATATTATTTATTTATGTGTGTTTTTAAATGCTAAAAGAATGAGGTTTTTAATAAAAAATCTTGTAATAATTACTATATAATATTTATATGTCGTATTTTCAAACCCACGTATAAGACCGTAAAAATTAAAATCTGTAAATTTAAAACTACTTAAGTGAGATTATGCGACTGAATGCCTCTGACTGACTAAATCTCACGTGTTTATTTTTTATGGTCAAAAGAATTTCACACAACAATTATACCTATTTTACGTGGTAGAGCCATGGTGATGTAGTATTGTTGTAGCACCTATGGATTGGCTCGACCAGGGAAAGAACATGTTCTTACAGAATACCAGCGTCAAATAGCAGCTTAATGCTGCTGTGTTTCGTATGGTTAGTGTAGACAAACGTAGACCATTCTACTGGAATTAGACTATTATACAATAGTTTTCTTATTATTTGACTTTAAGAAAAGGAGAATCTCAATCCCGATTTTAATAATTCTTTTTATTAAGTAGTTTGTACTTCAGAGGTACTCCCGTAATTTTTGGAGAAAATTTTTTTACCCCAAAGGGTGTAAAAATAGGGGACGAACTTTTAACGCAACTACTTATTTCGACGATTTTTGAGCTTTTTAAAATTCTTAAACTAAATTAAACTTTTAATAAAAGTATACTACTGATATATATTATTAATTATATGATTTAAGAATAAAATTATCATAATGGATGGAGCCTTTTTATTTTTAGCGTGTCCATTTTTGGTCACTTGTCAGTTGTTTTTCACTCTATGAGATTTAAAAGTTCTCTAAAAGTATCGCCCATTGTTTTGACGTGATCTAGTTGAAATAAATATAGATTAATGTAAATTCAACCTTAAATGCATTATTTAGCCTATAGTTGTATTCACAAAGATGCGTACAAAAAGCAATAAATTTTTATGACCGAGGCTCGTCGTTTGTACAAGGAATGAGTGGAGTCGAACTGCCCAATATTTTTTGTTAATGTTATTTTAATTTTAAAATATTATTAAACTTGTTTTAAAAAATTGGTGTTCATAAAGCATGTTCTATTTAATTCTATGGTTTATTATGTGTTATGGTATGGTATTATAATTTATCTAAATGTAAATATGTTTTTGGATCGGACACCACATTCATTTAGTAATGAAAGTACTTAAAACACTCCGTGAATTTCTGCAATATCAGGGGACACTCTAACCTAATCGCCGTCCACTACCATCTCGAGACGGCGAGGCTGGCTCTGCTCTTTCCGACCTAGGCGCAGGTGTCCTCTCCGGCTGATGTCTCGTATCTCTCCTACCCGGGGTACAAACTGGAACACTCCTTTGTGCCTCGGGCTGGAGTTTGCGTTTACGTCAGAGAGGACATCTGTTCTCGACGCCACGGCAGTCTTGAAGGTTCGGACCTGTCCATCCTTTGTCTACGCGTAGACAGCGACGACCACCCGCGCGTCTACGGGTGCCTCTATAGGTCCCATAGCGGTAATGCCGAAACAGACCGACTCTTCGATCACGTCCAAATGGCTACAGATTCGTTGCTACAGCAGATCCCCTCCACAGAGATCGTGATCCTCGGCGACTTTAACGCCCATCACGCCGAATGGCTTGGTTCACGTTTAACCGATCATGCAGGGAGATCTGTTCATGATTTTGCCTTGGCATATGGTCAGACACAACTGGTTACCTCGCCTACGCGGATTCCAGATGTGGTGGATCATGCACCTTCCCTGTTGGACTTTCTGCTGATCTCTCTATAGGTCAGCCGATTGGGATGGGATGCGGTCTTTCTTTGCATCCTACCCTTGTGGGCGGGTTTGCTTCTCGCCGGACGATCCCAACGTTGTTGCGGATTCTGTCGCTGATGTGGTACTTCAGGGTATGGAACTTTTTTATTCCTTCCTCTGTGGTGCCCATTGGAGGCAAATCTCAGCCATGGTTTGGTCGCTCCTGGAAAATAGCATCATGCTATAAGCAGGAGTGCTACCAGGCCTGGGCTGACGCATCAGCGTCTCGGGATGTAAAGACCAGCGCTCTAAAAAAGAAGTATAATTCCGCCTCTAGTTGTTGTGTCCTTCAAAAGAGTCATTGCCAAGGCAAAGTCAGAGCACAGAGGCAGAATTGGCGAGAAACTAGTTCGCCTTCCTTCTGGAACCCGTGCATTCTGGTCTCTCGCCAAGGCTGTCCAGGGGAATTTCTGTCAGCCATCTCTTCCATCTCTGCACAGGGAGGACGGCTCACTGGCCCATACCGCAAAGGAGAAAGCCGATCTCCTAGGCTCTTTCTTTGCGTCCAACTCGACTCTCGATGACGGAGGGGAGTACGCCGCCGACCGTCCCGCGGTGTGAGTGCTCCATGCCGGAAGTGCAGTTCACACAGCGCTCGGTTCGCAGATCACTCCTCTCCCTGGACATCCACAAGTCGACTGGGCCTGACGGAATCCCCCCAATTGTGCTGAGGACGTGTGCTGCAGAGTTGGCACCGGTTTTAACGCGTCTTTTCTGGTACTCTTACTCCCTAGGCGTAGTCCCAAAATCATGGAAGACGGATTTCGTCCACCCGATCCCTAAAAAAGGCGACCGCTCAGACCCGTCCAACTACCGGCCTATCGCTATCACCTCTTTAATCTCCAAAACAATGGACTCCATTGTAAACTGCCAGCTCATGAGGTACCCTGAGGATCACCAGCTGATTAGTGACCGCCAATACGGTTTTCGCCGTGGTCGGTCAGCTGGTGATCTTCTGGTCTACCTAACTCACAGATGGGTGGAGGCAGTAGAGTCCAAGGGGGAGTATTGGCCGTTAGTTTGGACATTGCGAAGGCCTTCGATCGGGTTTGGCACAAAGCGCTTCTTTCGAAGCTCCCTTCCTATGGGCTTCCCGAGAAATTGTGCGATTGGATCACCAGCTTTCTTGCAGATCGGAGCATCAAGGTCGTTGTAGATGGTGCAAGCTCCGATTGCAAGCCTATTAATGCTGCTATTCCACAAGGCTGCGTGCTATCGCCAACGCTGTTTCTTCTGCATATCAATGATATGTTGCAAACCTGTAACGTTCATTGCTATGCAGATGACAGCACTGGTGATGCTCTTTACACCGGCCGAGCCAATATTTCTCGGGAAAACGTCTCCGAATGCCGGGACAAACTTGTGTCTGAAGTCGAGTCTTTGCTGAACAGATCTCGGATTGGGGGCGACTAAATCTAGTTCAGTTTAACCCCCAGAAGACACAGGTTTGCTCGTTAACCGCTTAAAAGAACCCCTTTGTCGTATCTCCTCAGTTTCAAGGCACTCTCCTTGTTGCCTCAGCCAGTATCGGAATCCTCGGCGTCGACATATCGAGTGACGTGCAGTTTCGTGGCCACTTGGAACAGAAGGCTAAATTGGCCTCTAAAAAGCTTGGCGTGTACAGCAGAGCGGGACAGTATTTCATGTCAGCACAACGTCTGCAACTTTGCAAGGCGCAGGTTCGGCCGCACATCTCTGGGCTGGGGCTCCCCAGTACCAGCTCCTTCTACTTGACCGCATCCAGCGCAGAGCGGCTCGAATCGTCGACGACCGAGTGCTTTCCGATCGGCTCGATTCACTGGCACTGCGAAGAGATGTTGCATCTCTTTGCATTTTATTTCGCATATACCATGGAGAGTGCTCTGAGGAATTGTTCGGATTCATCCCAGCCGCCAAATTTCGTGAACGCACTACGCGGCACACGTCCCATACCATCCACACCATCTGGCAGCTTGGTGGTCCACCACAGTATGTTTCAAAAGGAGTTTTCTTCCGCGTACAACCTCTCTATGGAATAGTTTACCACCGGCGATTTTTTCGGACCGATACGACCTGGGGACCTTCAGGAAAAGAGCTTACTCCTTTCTAAAGGGCCGACAACGCACCTGCAATTCCCCTGGGGTTGCGGTTGATCATGGGTGGCGGTAATCACTTAACATCAAGTGAGCCGAATGCTCGTTTGCCCCCTCTTCTATAAAAAAAAATTTCCGCTAAGTTGTATCCTGTAAATATAATAGGAAATAAGAAATAAATGCTATTATTTAAAGACATTTTCCTTTATTTAAGTAATATTAGGTACTAAAATCAACTAAATTAGATAATTCCACTACATCTTCATGGTCATCATCACCTCCAGATAGCTCCAGCCTATACCTGCTTCTGTTCTTTTTTACAGTTTTAGTAATTTGTCCAGGATATTTTGAGGTAGTTAAGTCTTTATGTGTGGCAGACTTGCTTAAGATTTTTTTTTAGTGATGACATATCATTATACGTATGTTCACTATTTCAGCTGACATACACTTACGTAGCTTGCTTTTGACAATGTTCATAACGTCGAAAATCCGCTATACTTCGGCGTTTTAATGTTGAAGCGACAGCACGCTGATGGCTAAGTCCACTAATTCCCGAAAGAGATTCATCCTAGCCGCATTTTTGTATTGGGAGACTTCAGCCCAAAATTTCACTATATCATCACCATCACCTTTTATTTGACCTATTGAATTCCATTTGCATTTGCATGACTATATGCTCCCAATCAGAGCTATATTTCTGGCTATAAGCCTACTTCCTCGGTGGCACTTCCATTTAAAATTTTCATGAAACAATTAAAACTGAGCTAAAAGACTAACACGAAACTCGAAAGTGGGAAAGACCAGTTCTTCTCAGATATTAAAGCTTAGAGGATTAATATAATGAAAAACAATACAGCTACATGATAGCATAATGCAAAAGGGAGATAAAACAATTAACGCATCAGCAACATTTCAGTCGGAGAATATCTGAACGATAAACTAGAAAGGCTAGTGTTTTTATTAGACCATGCTGCCAACTAATATCAAATTTTCCGCCAGATCCCATTAGATATTTTTAACGTTTAGATATCTATAAAAAGCGCTATAGACCCAATAATTGCACTAGATCTAGCGCCAAATGCGCTAAAACGGCAACACTGCCTTACTCAGTCATAGGCATGGATGGTTAGAGAACAGGGGAACGATCGCCTTAGAAAATAGCGTCCCAGAAATTTGGACACCATAAGTGAGGCGCTGCGATCGTGAAGTTCGCTCAATGAAAGTCATTTTCAGTCTATTTTTCCGATCAGATGCTAAACCATTTGCACATCCAAGCACAATAAAATATTTCTCCATTTTTTAATGTTTCTTTTTGTCAAAAATTACAAAATTATGGAACATGAAAATTTTCCCACCAATGCCGCGAAGAAAATTTGTACATTATTCAACTAACTTCATCTACTTGTACTCATAAACAGCTAACTTCGCAGCCACTACTCACGGACGTCAGCACCTCTATAAATTCTACAAATTTTCAAGGACAGGCGGGCCATGGTCATAGAGATGGACAAGTGAAAAAGTATATATTTATTGAATCGAGATTTTTAAAGTAATTGTAACATCATTTACTGTATTTCATCCTGCTAACTCTAGCTGCGTGACTCGAGATTAGTTCGAGTATGTGAATTTCAACTCGAGTTAACTCGAGTCGTAATTTTTCCGAGTAAGCACAACCATAGGATGCAACATCGCTCAATAAAGACATCGAAGCTTATGTACGATATATCGATTTTTTACATACGTATAGAATATAGAATAAATAATCATTTTGAACAGAAATGAAACAAAGAAGTATAAAGATCAAACATTATATTTATGTTATTTTAGGAAGTTTTACACAATTTATTTTTACACATTTATTTTTATCGAATAATTATCAGAAAACAAGAACTAAATAAATATTTTTTACTTTTACGTTTATTTATTTTAAATTGAAATTTAAAATAACGATTTTGACAACCTGGCGACTAGTAAGCGGTTTCTCTCTTGGGCGATTGTACATCCAGTCTCTGAAAATAACCGCTCACTGGATACCGAAGTTGCCACGATAGGCAAATAGATCTTATCGAGTCTATGAAGCTCGGAAAATAATCCATTCATACCATCCCACATGTAATATATGAAATTCGTCTTCTGTTTTAGTTTTATTTCTTATGTTGTGGTGCGTTTATTTTTTATGGTAGTTCCATATTATGTCACCTTCAGAATTATCGCATTTTCTAAATACATCTACGAAACTATACCGAAATACAAACAAGTCAATAACCGTTCATATATAAAAATCAATATTTCAGAAAAATTATTGTAACTAAATATGAAGTACCGTAAGCCGATAAAATAATTTCCACTACAAAATAACTACTACCTTATAAGACTGTACTTAAGCTATTCATTAAGTTAAAGCTCAAAGAATATAATTATTAACAATAAAATGCAAATGCAAACTTATCTTAATTAATTATCACAATAAAAATAACTACAATTTTACATCGAAAATGGAATCACCGATTGAAGACAATTGCACTTCCAAAGTTCAAGTATATTAATTATTTTCGGCTGTTTGTTGATCCGTAATTAAAATTTTCCGTATTGAAATTCCTCCTAAATACTCGTAAACCTTCTAATTTTAAAAATTTAGACGTTACATTATATGACGCAACATAAAATTCGTGATAATCATGATTCTCAACTTAAACATACGGAATTTTATACCTTCGAATAGTTGATTATTAAGTAACCTTTGACGGTAAGCCAAAACACTGTTCATAAAACATCGCTAATGAATAACCATGTTTATGAACGATATATTGATGTTTGAAAAAATTGATGCATCGTTTTCATCCCTAGTCCCACATTGAATAAGTGCCCTAACTCCCTTAGTGTTATTATACTGCACGGTGGCAAGGGCACTGCAGACCGGGTCCACTTTGACACCCTAATTAGAGTCCCTTTTCCTTATTACACTACCCTGAATCAGGACGTAGGGACCCTGATTCAGCGTAGTGTAATAGGGGTATAAGGCACATGACAGAAAAGACGTCGTTAGAACTATGGAGGGAACACCTGTAGCCTTAATGGAGATTATTCACGAGAAGAAGCGTGGGGATACAGGCAGAGTGCAGACGCTATAACCGCATTTTCATTATGCGTCTAATTCTCTAAATTCTACCAAATTTAGCTTCATAATTTTGAATTTAATATTTGATGACTTTGATGCTGCCGCAATACGCAACCATGTATACGCGTATTATAGACGGACTGAAATAAAATATGCACGATGCGAAATCGTGATTGTGTGGGGGATTTAATTATCGTCTTGATAATCTATTATTAATTCAATAGATTTGTTTAGGGAGGGACTTTATTATCGCATTATAATTTATTATTAATTCAATAGGTAAGAAATTGTTCAAAACATGAAATCCATTAAGCATAAACATGCAACCATTGACTGCAAGTTCTATGAGAATAATAATCGAATAGATTCATCAATATTTCGATTATACATTATACATCACTACAGCGAGGTTTCTATCTATCTACTATCTAGTGCAATCTAGTGCGTGACAGTGAGTTGTCAAAAATCAAGCTTTTGTGTTGTTTTGTTTTGGCTTTGTCATTTATTTACAATTTGCATAGGTAGCCTATTGTACCCAAACATAAAGTTACAATAGTGATACAAATGTAACATTTCTAATAGTTTCTTATAAAAATGTCGGAAGATAATGAATTGTTTACAACGCGCGTGAGAAGAGAAACACGAAAGATTCACTCAGTGAGTGATGCATTGGTCAATGCGAAATTTGCTATTTGTAAGGAAATACATTTTTTTGAATTACGAAAAATTACTTTAACAAACGTACCTATATATATCTTTTCACATTTTTCAGTGCTCCGCATTTGATTCAAGTAGATTATATGCTAAAATATTATTTTTCAGCTTTGCGAGATGAAACTGTTTGGTGCGGAGGTTTATTTGCTTTTTACCATATATTTGCATTTCTAGAAGATGTTAAAGAAAGACTTAATAAACCAATGTATAACAAATTATTTGTTAATGAAGTTTTATTCAGGTAAGCAGATTTCTTTTATAAAATAGTATTTGGAAGCAATGTATAATCAATAATTAATTTCGTAGGAGTTGAGTTTGAAATTTCTTTGTGAAGGGAAAGGGTAGTGTGTGTAGTAGAATAACTGAGTTAACATGCAATTCGGTTCTCACCATTCTGCCAAAGTCTATAGTCAGTGAACATACATAATGTAAGCATTTTTATGATTTTGATACCAAAGATAATTTTCGAGGCTATTTAAGTAATATTTGGGTGCTAAATATGCTAAAATAAAATTGAATACAAACCCAAGCATACCACTGCAAGACTTCAAGATACTAAAAGAATTTTAACTTAAAGGTGGTCCTATAATAACTATACTATTGGTAAATTAAACACCATGGATCATGAGTGCAGCAAAATACTTAAAATATTGGAAACAAAAAATAGATAAAATCTGTACAAAACAATATGTTTCTCACATAAATATAAGAAATTATTATGTAAACCTTATATATTTTGAAAAAAAAATGTATGGACTACACAGTTCTTAAGCATTTCTTAGTATCATCCAAGTGTAAAAATAGTCCTATTGTAAAAATATCTATTTAAAGTTTACAGATTCAATTCTGCAACAGATATGGATATTATGCTATATTTTTTGATGTATAAAATATAAATGTACAGAAATTTTAGAATTAATATTACAATAATATATTTAAGGAAATCAAAAAGCTGAAAATATTGATATTGAGGGCAATATTATTGACATGATATCACAATACTATTATTGCTTAGACTAAAAATATAGAATTAATATTACAATAATATATTTAAGGAAATCAAAAAGCTGAAAATATTGATATTGAGGGCAATATTATTGACATGATATCACAATACTATTATTGCTTAGACTAAAAATATACATTCAGATTACTGAAAAACCATTTATCTATTGTATGTGTGGCAAAATTACTAATCATATTGCATGGGCAAATCAAGCTTGTTGCTTTGTGCGTCATAACACAGAGAAAACAAATTTTCTGGACTAAACAGCACTAAGAATAAAGGATTTTCACAACTATAAACCATAGGGGTTTACAGTTGTGAAAAATCACTGTAATTTCATACAAAAACTTGTGATTCCAAACAAGTATACACTATTGTCAAGTACACATGGTACACTCTTCTTCTCAAAAAAAAAACTTGGAACTACTTAAATAGTCACTTGACTTCCTGCTCATTCTGCAAACATATGTATGTACCAATCATTCTGTATGGTGGTAATTTCGTCTGAATAGCGAGCCCTTTCGATTATACAATATTTGGGTATACTTTATCTTCCACATTTTGTTTATATCAATGGTAAATAATGTAATGTAATTACATTCATTTGCCTGGCTCAGCTACCCTGAATCGGCATTTGAGGTGTGCACTAATCCAATGTACCCCAACTGAATCTTTGTATTGCTTTATTTTTAAATTTAACTGTATTTTTTGGAGAAAAATGCAATCAAAGGTGGCCATGCCGACCAAAAGCTTTTACCACAATTCCATAGAACTTTAAGAATACATTATCAATCAAAATTCTTCTTTTCTACAGATTATGGATTAATAAGATATATGTACAACAACAGAAATTGTTAGTTCATAATAGAAAAGGATTAATTGCTGTGGATAGGGGGACGTGCTGAAATATTTTTCATGACATCAAAAAAAGACAAAAATACACCTCCAAAAACTAACCAAAAAAAGTATGCTTTAGAATCCAACTGCAGGCATTTGAGGTTGATAAAAGTTGGTCCATCATAAGTCATACATAATACATAAACACTTACGCCTGTCACCCAGAGGGGTAGGCAGAGACTACCGACTTCCATTTGGCACGATCCTGACACCCCTCTCTCACCTCCTCCACATCTATATACCTAGGCATACATGTTCGTCGGTTAAGGGTACTCCTAGTTTGGCCCATTTTCAATATATCGCCCATTTGGTTGATAAATTTTGGTCTAGGATGTCCCTTTCTGACTCTACCGTTCACTTCTGCAACATAAATTTGCTTTGTCACTCTTTCCTCATTCATTCTTTCCACATGACCAAACCATCTTGCAAACCACACTCTTCTCTTATCACACAATTTCTCACCCCGTTACTCAGATTCAGCCCTAACATACTCGTTAATGACCGCATTTCTACTGCGTTTATTCTAATCATGTGCTTCTTCTGCCACACTCAACATACACTACCATACGTTAAAGTAGGTACTAACACAGCATTGTGAATTGCCATATGTGCCTTTTTTGATGCATTCTGACTTTCCACTATAGTGTGTAGGGCCCCATTTACTCTACTTGCTATGTTCACTCGTCATTCTATAACTTTATCATATCTCCCATCCTTGCTAACTATGCATACCAAATATACAAACTCATCTACTTGCTCGATCAACTTCCCTTCTATTCTTATTTCACATATCATTTTACTTTTTTTTCTTCCAAAAACCATAACTCTTATCTTACTTGCAAATACTTTCATACCCCTTCTCCCCTCCCCCTCTTACATAAATGAACAGATCATTTTAATGATCTGTTCATTTATGTAATTATCATTTGCAACTCGGCCGCCGACGACGCAAAAATAACTTGATCATCGGATATAATAATATCATAAGTCATAACCCATCCTTACCCCTGGGCGGGTTGGGTATGCATAGACATTTCCTCAAAATGAAATAATTGGTCACTCTGTTGTAATAATACCCCTTATTCTCCCAGAGATTTTTTAAATAAACATATTTAAAATGTTATTACTGCTAAAATAGTTATAATAAAAGTAAATAAGTAACGTTTTTATATTATATTAGTCTGGATATGGTATGATAATATATTAATCTGGCTAAATAACATGTTCAATGTTAATATTGTAATGAATAAAACGTTTGGCAAACGGGAGATGGATCAATATTTCCAAACTAAGTCAAACTTTACAAAATGAACATTTATGTGCATGTGCATGTAATGTATATTGAAAATGAATAATTATATAATAAATAGTCATTATTTTATGGTAAAAAAATTTGCAAAGCTTTATCTTCCCATTATACCATATCTAATTCCTGTCGTAATCTGTTCTTCTATGCATATAACTTAAACAAAATAACCCCTTTTTTAATTTTGTACATAGTTTGTACTTTGTTCATGCTTTTATTTTGTTCATGTATTGTATTGTATGTAAATATCTTTTTCTTTCGCTCAAGCAAACCCAAATGGCTCTTTTCAAAGCCACTGAAGGTATGCAATTGTCATACAATCTATTTAGCAGTAGTATGCCTTCTGTGTGCTTTGTTAAACATGTCCTTGACAGCACTGAATTTGAAACTAAAGAGTGGAGACAGATCAAGATTGTTGTATTTTTATAAAACTGCTAAAAACAACAAAACCATATCTTGGGCTGGCCCTAGTTTGGAGCCCTAGCTTCGCCACTGGTAACGAGATCATTGTTACGTGAGATTGAGTTTCCCTCTGAGTTCACGCCAATGGGAAACTCTAAAGCTCTAAATCGCACAAGCCGCGACTTGCTTTAGTAGCTTTAGTATTAGATAGTGAAGAGTGACTTTAGTGATAGATAGAAAGTATTAGATAGTGTGCTTAACTCTGAATTGGGAAAACATTCCAGCATATATAATGTTCAGTTTTGGTTTCGACTGAAAGCACTATAGTAAATCTTAACCACACTACCCAATATTATACCCAGCGTGGGACGCCGGTATATGCCTGTTTTCTGGATCTCTCTAAGGCCTCTAACGTGTCGTATTATGTAGATTGGAGGAAACTGGGGAATAGGGGTGTACCGGAAGAAGTGCTGGATGTGTTCAAATTTTTGGTATGCTAACCAAACAAATCATGTTAAGAGGGCTGATTTCATTATCGGAAGAGCGCGGGGTGAGGCAGGGGGGGCTAATCTTCTCCTAAGCTATGTACGTAGAGGATCTCATCGTGGAGGTGAGTAGCATGCATATTGGTTGTACGATAGGTGAAATTAGCATAAACAACAAATTACGCAGACGACATGATGCTGCTCAGCCACACGGTGGAGGCCTGAAGGAAATGTCGAATGTCTGCGAAATGTATGCTGCTGTACTTAGGCTTACATACAATGTCAAAAAGACTGAATACATGGTCTTTGGTAAATGTCCCGTAAACATTATTAACATTACCCTTAGTTGCTTGCACATTAAATGTGTGGCAAAATTCAAATATCTGGGGCATGTTATCACAAGCGACCTCAAAGACAATGATGATATTGAAAGGGAGCGGAGGCCTCTAGCGGTTGGAGGTAATGTGTTCTCGTCGTATGGAAGAGGTAAAAGTGACGCTTTTTAAAGCATACTGTCAAAGCATGTACACGGGTAACCTGTGGGTCAACCATATCAAAAAATCGTTTGACACAACGAATGCAGTATAATAATGTCTTTAGGATGATGTTGGGACTTCCACGTTTTTGCAGTGCATCAGATATGTTTGCAGAGTATCAAATTGATGGCTACAAAGCAATCATTCCAAAAAAACAAGCTCCGTGATCAGTAGAGGGAGAAACAGTTCCGACAGCACCCTAAAGACATTAGTGGATCGATTCACATCACCTCTCTGGAGGTGCTTTTTGCAAAAAGTGACGACCACGAGGACCTACCCTTTCTCCTGATGGGCACTCTTAGAACACGAAAATGTATCTTATATTTTTAATTTCTACTGTAACTTTTGTACCCTATTTAATTTATTACTATATTTACTAACATAGTTTTAAGTTACTTTACTAACCCATATGGAGTTCGTGCCAAAAATGTAGTAGAGTTGTTTTCTTTAAAAACCAGCCTCAGGCAAAAAATGAAATTTAGACCATATTTTTTTAAGCCAGTAACATCATGTTCAAATGTTTAAAATCTTTTTCGTATTGTATTTTTTCAGATAGGAAAAACATCGTTTTTTTGCAAATGAGTGTATAAATGACAACAATAATTTAAGTTTGTCTAATTTAACACTCTTTTTGGTCAGAAGTGCTCTGCTATGAAATTGTCAATTTCAAATTTAGCACAGTTTTCATTGATTTTGTATATTTGTGATTTTCCATAATGGCAGTTAAAATGAGTAGGGTAAAAGAGGGTAATGGTAGTCACTTAAGTTAGAATTCAAATTAAAGCTTATTTCACAATAAAATCTTTATTGAAACTATAAAATAACAAAATTTACTTATTTAGCTATCAATTGAGATCATTTTTATTCACTTTGGCTGATTGCTTTTGGAAATAATGACAGTTCAAAAAATAACGGATTTGACCCCCATTTCACTGAGGTGATGGCAATGGTAATCACCCTGTGGGTAATCAGATTCAAACAAAATTTAACATATTATATCGCACACATAACCTTTGACTTAGTCTCACACAGTGCAGTCCAGGTGAGCCGTTTTTCTTGTTGTGATTTTATAATGTTATAATTTTCGTTATCTACCAGGTATTTTTTGATGTTTGATTTGTTGGTGTTTTAAACTGTAGAGTGCTTCTTTCGGCCCTGTTGGGTTCTTTCTCTGGCAACTTAATAAATTCTTGTATAGTAGACACTTTCTTTGAGAAACCTCAAAGAAAGTGGTTTGTTCTGTGGAAAAAATATTTAGGTCTCCTTTTTTCGATGTATCAGGAAGTGATTGATCTGCTTGCTTCGATGTGCTAGGCGTCGAGCTTATATTATCATGTACTGCATAAGTAGTAGCAGCTGAAATATATTCATCATAATCTTAACCGCAATAGACTAAGAAGAATTTCAGCTGCAACAAAGTTTTCTTCTGAAAATAGTTCGGGGATAATTGGAAATGGAATTACCTTGTTGATCAATTAGCTGCACAGCTTTTTCCAAACTATCGATAGACCAGGAAGTCTTTTCGGTAATTCTGATTTGCACTTTTAGCATCTGAAACAAACCAGAAAAGCAGTTTATAACATGTAGGAAATTAAGTCCATCGGCACATTATGCTACTTTACTTTGCCAGCAACTACACTAATGAGTAAAAAGTCAGTAATAAAAAAAAACTAAATATAATTTCGGTAATCAAGGGTGTACATCACTATTTTGAATGTCAGACTAATTACCATATAAAAGTGTCATTTGGATACATTATAAAATTCGAGACTTACCGTTTGTTATTTTTCGAGAAAAATTTACATCGGCTGACGCAAAAACTAATTACAATCATCACGCGGCGGTTACTGGCGGGAATCGTTTGATACCGTGGTGGGGGACACGAAGCAAGCAATGTACATGTTATTTACGTGACTCGCAGATGTGTCACCATGAGAGAGAGAGTGAGATCACCATTACCCGCTCTTCCCAATTAAACAGTGTTTGAACACTATAATACTCATTTTGTCTATACCTTCACTGCTCCTTCACTAAACTCTAAAACAGAATTTGTAATAAGTAAGAAAAATTATTTGTGATTTCAGAAAAAAGGCGTTTGAGGAAGACCTAACACATTACTTAGGAGAGAATTGGCGATCAATTGAAAAATCACCTACCTTGCAAAATTATCTGGGTCACCTGCAGTATCTTGAAAACACAAACTCAATTCTACTCATGGCATATGTGTATCATTTATACTTGGGTCTGCTTAGTGGTGGTCAGATACTTGCGAAGAAGAGAAGAATATTCTTTAACAGTTTGTATTTTTAATAATTTTGTTTGAACTTCCACTTGAGTCTCCTACCGCCTGCAAATACCCGAAAATTTCCAACGTTGGATGTGGGGCCCCACCCTCTATTAGGGGAGATTTTTCATAATTACCACACTTGATAGGCGGATCGACTTTCGCAGTACCCGGCATCTTGCGCAATTGACGCTATTTCCTGGGCATCTTTACTGTACTTTACTCTAGTATAAACGGAATTGTTATCATAGCATAATCTAGTGCAGGCCGTGAGATTTTTCCTTTGCCGACTCGCAGAGGACCAAATTTAATGATATGTGATTGTGACGAGTGGCTGTCTTAGGCCCAGTTTACGTTTTGAGAAGTGACAAATGCGAGTGGCAAGTGCAAGTGACAAGTGCTTAGTGCATGTGAACAGGCAGAGACAAGTGATAAGTGGGTATAAAATACGCAATTGTCATTTCTCACTTGCCACTCGCACTTGTCACTTCTCAAAACGTAAACCGGGCCTTAAGACGCCACTAGCGATAGGTTCAACAAGTTATTGTCGTGTAGAGGCAGCGTAAGAATATCTATTCCATACCATTCCGCGGCGTGGCTGTCCTAAGAGGAGACAGAGGGAAACTCAATGTGGAGATGGGCAGCAGGATCTTTCTGCTAGCAAATTCATAATAGTTATTGATTGCCAGGCCTTCCAACAGGATGAATAGGTGATTGATGGTGGATGATGAAAAGGGGAAAACGAGCATCCAGTTCACCAGATGGCAGGTGTCCACCGTCCACCTGCGGAACAACTGCAACTTCATATGTTAACCTCTATTACTTAATCAAGTCTAACCATATGTTGTGGCCTTCAGAAAACACCTCCAGGCAGCACGTGTATGTGGATAAAGTGACAAATTTCGGCGATGTAGATGTTGGAAAACTGAAGAAAGATATACATAACGCAATGAATGAAGTAGCGAAACTCATGAGTTATGATGAACAATTAGCTTTCATACGGGAAAGCTACGATTTGTTCTTGAGGAATAATTCGATAGTCAAATCTATTGAAGGACAAAATAAAGTCATATATAATATGTTGTTCAAGGCATTTGCAGTACTCATGCTCATCGGTGGAGCCATTTACGCATATAAAATGTACAAGTAATCACCTTATTTTCATATTGTAACACAATGTAAAGTAGATTGTTGACAAACATTTCCCTGTATTCTCGGATTTCATATCCATCCATCCTAAAAGTTAATGGTCATAGCTTAATTTGGTTCAACTTTGACAATAAAAAAAAATTATATAAATACCTATATTTAATTTACAGTTTTCACATAGACTTTCATAATTATCTAAAAGCGGGAAATGAATATTGATTTAAATGTTTTTAGTAATAAAGACAAAATTGGATATATATTAATCTTGTAAGTAAATAACCTGTACATAATAAAATGTGTTATTTATTATATTTATTATTTAGTTATATTTAAAAGATACAAACATTTATCATGTTCAACTTGATGTATATTTGTAGTTTATAAATATCTTTGTGGTAGCTGCTTTGGACAGTAGTAGAAGGTTTTATATGTAGATATCTTATTAGATTTGTTATTGATTTATATAATTTATGTAGACAGATTGTAGTGATTTAGTTTTGAATAAAGGCTGATTTATTTTATTGAAAATAAGTTATGTTTTTTTTATAGAATAAGAGTGACAAATGAGCGCAGAGTCCACCTTATGTTTATTGGATGCTGTGGCACATAGATACATTTATCTTCGATTAAGAATCAAAATGCTGATGCGTTGTCATCCCTGAGGACTGAGATGGAATGCATCGTTTCCAGTAAAAGCGATCTCCTGTTTTCTACAATCACCATACGAAATACAGCAGCATTACGCTGCTATTTTACGCTGGTATTCTGTGAGAACATGGTCGAGTGAGGAGTAATCCGGCCATTTCGTGCAACATTTCAACAACAACAACGTGAAACCATTACATAGCTGCAGCGTGGCTCTGCCGGCGTTAAACGTGATTACGGTGCAAAGACATCAATAGCTATCCTTAACTGTTGTTGGAGGTTTGTATCTAAAAATAAGAAAAACTGAATTCATATAGGATCACTTTGTTGTCAAACTGACTTTCCGCCTGTCTAGATACCTGTTTCGGGAACGCGGGTAGATGTATAGAGTTGAAATAACAATTCTAGCTTCTAGGTCAACACACTACAAGATACGGCTCTTCAAGTTAGGTTATTTACTTTTCCGGTTAGGAAACTCGCAAACTCATCAAAACGTACGTTTAGAGTATTTCCAGTTGGCCAATAATGAAGTAATTTAGCAAGTAAAGAAAAAAAATAAAAATCGTTCTATTGCAGTGATATAAATATAAATTTTTAAAAGTTACCAACTTAGATTTTCAGCTGGAGCGTAGACCATGATGTAGACTAGACTGATGAATGGGAGAACATTTTCTTCAACTGTTTGTCAATCCGACCTTACCTTTGAGTCTTTTGCTCCTACTTTCCGTTTTTTTTATATGGTGCATATATATATGTAGTTAATAGTATTCTACCCGTATTCGATGCTGACGATGTTGAAATCTAGATGTAATACTGTGGAATGTTCTTTGCAAAATATTTTTTTAATAAAAAGAACGTTACCACAACGTTACTAGGATTTTATCCTTTATTGTGGAGGCACTTTACATAAATTGCACAAGATTAAACATTCTGACCCGAAACAATTATTTGTAGGCGATACAAAAACTTGCTCCCTGTGGGATTCCAACACGCGGTCCTCAGCGCCTTCAATCCTAAGCCGCGTAAGTAGATTTTTGGTATAACTTTCCATCTACCAATGAGGTGGTGCGAATTTGAACTATTAGTAACTTGTATCTTTTATTTGAATCGTGAGTAATTTTAGGGCATACTATGATGTAAATGTTAATATGTTTTGAGAATAGAGATAAAATTCGCAAAAGTTCTGGATCAAACTGAAATGAAAGTAAAGATTTATTATATTGAAAACAAATTTTTCAAGTTTCGGAAAACAAATTGAATGGTTATCATATTAGATGATGGTTTTGCATTCCACTGAAAGAGTTCGTTAAAAATATTGCAGACCATGCCTACAAACTTTTCCGCGTATTTTTGAGCAAGAAAGCTGTGTATTTTAAACCAGTGCGTTCGACAAATATTACTGATTTGTGTAATAACTTGGGATGGGCCGAATATGGATTTCACCGAATAAGAATATTCGGCCGAATGTTCGAAAATTTTTTACCAAACCGAATATTCGGCCGAACATTATTCGGCAGGATAACCTCGGGACCCACATTTATGTCAAAACTAATTACCGTAAAGCGCGCGGGATTAGCGCCGGACCCTGACTCTCGTTCCCCGCCACACCTGACAGTGATTGCATCATCCATGAGCAAATTGCCGGCACATGCTTATGTTTTGACTATTCTTATGATAAAAAAGTATATCGCTGTTTTATTCTTAGTGAAAATTGATTGATAAAAATGAGCGGCAGGAGATTCACTATTTGGACTTAGTTTGGAGAAACTGACGACCAAAGTAAAGTGAAATGTACTAATGTAATGTAATGTTTCTTTGTTTGATTCCGAAAACACTTTATCAAGTTTCTATTTGCCATAATCGGAAATAAATGTACAGTGCCTCAAAAACATAAATGTATAGATTTATGCATTTGAGGCAACCTAGAGTAAGTAGATTTAACCCATTAATAAAATAGGTTATACTTTCAACAGTAAAAGACATAGCATTACTCAATTCGTACATTTCAATACATTGGACACTATGAAAACGAATGTTAGGTGATTTAGCCGAATACGAATATTCGGTAAAGCTGCCGAATATGCCGAATACCGAATATAAAACGAATTTTCGGCCCAGTAATAACCATTTACTTTCGGTGCAGAAGTTGTCTGTCGAAAATTGCTTAGTCTTGTCCATCATATAATTATATTTTACTATAATGATGAAGATGTGCAACAAATAACACAGAAAGACAAAGCAACAAAGAAGAAAGTGATAAGTAAATTTTCGGAAAAAACGAGAGATCCTTACTCTAGATACAGCCAAATTATGTGTCTTCAATACACAGCTTCAATATTACGTCACATAGCTCAGTAGTATAAAATCTTATAGGGTACGGGTACAGAATAAATAAAAGCTATGGCTACGGTACCTCTATACTCCATGGGCTACGGTTTATGTGTTTTGTTACATTCATTCAAAATACATTATAAATCGTGTTTGATACACATCATGTAAGAATTTTACTTGTGTGATGTTTAGCATTGAACAAAACAAGCTTTGTTAAAATTAAAAGTCATTATCATTGACCTTCATAATAATATATGAATGACCACAGAGTCAACTGGCTTTTTTCCAGGAAACATTTATTAGTACAAAAGCTTTTAGAAGACTGCATGTAATATTCTAATAATATGGTGTCGAAAAGAGATGGCAATCGTTGAGTCGAAAAGAGCCATGGATTTCTCTGTACTGTTTTTTTCTACAGGAAATATATTTCACTACATTTCCGTTTGTGTATTATACTTTCAATTACACTGCGTAAAATCAGATTTCGTTTTGTTCTGCACTTTAATGCTTTAGACAGATTTTAAATATATTTTACAATTGTCCAGCATAAAGGCTACTCAAGGTAGGTATGAGATAGTTCGCGTTCATAACATCATGTTGAATTTATAATTATGCACAATTTTTTGTTCAGTGTACTTCCACCAACTTTGAATTAAATAATTCAGTCAAATATTTTTTTTTCAAAATTGGTGTCTACAAAGCAATTTTATAGTGAAATACTACACGATCGCTTTAACATGTAGATTTTTTTTACCGTCGGAAAGAAGGATCACTATTATATACATATTAAAAAGACCAATGCAATGGTCCCAATATTTATCCTTGGAGCACGCCCATAATTAATGGTGCTCCAATATGATCCAGAAACTCATATCTCCACTCCAATATCATTACTGAACTATAGCCTATAGTAAGTTATATAATACTGAGGTAGGTATATGACGTAATATTGGACATAATTTGGCTGTAGAATAAGTAGCATTAGCCAGAAGATATGAAATTAATTGTACAGATTCAACATCTTAAGTTAAGATATATAATCTCTCGTCTTTTTCCTAAAATTTACTTATCACTTTCTTCTTTGTTGCTTTGTCTTTCTTTGTTATTTGTTTAGCGTAAACAATGGCTAACCGTAAACACGAATTTTTCAAGATTTTCGCTCTCCTGACACCTGAAAAGTAGGCCAATTCGACACTGTTGTTAGCTGTGTGACGATATTGAAAAAATCACATTTCGAATACTTGATAGGTTTTCTAGGATTTTAAAAAGAGATTTTTAAATTAAGTTGGAGGAATATACTGTGGCGGCATTTGTTTTCGCGTATTTAGCCGTAAACGGAAATGTGTTGAGCTATTCGTTTTCATTTGACATTTCCAAAAATAAAATTATAAGAGCTTTGGTGGTTTTGGCACACGTCAACACGTCAAAAATTATTTGAATCCATAATCAGATTATTAATCTCTTGAATCTAAGTGTAGAATTTGAATGACATGTGTATGTTGGGTTGTTGCCAAGTAAGTGGTTTGTGTAATTCAAATTGGTAGTGGTAATGTGGTATTTCACGTGTGATGTGATGCTGCCGCAAAAGTTTCAGAACAGATAATGTTAATCGCTGAAAGTTCCCCATTATTATATTAATTATTACATTAAAAGGGGACGGCGCGTACGCAGTCCCCACTACCAAAAATTACGCGTCCGAGTTATCCACATTAGGGATAATCGCAGGGGTCAACCTAACCGCAGTGCAATGGAAAGGCAGTGTTGCCAACGGATGAAATAGCAATCCGCCAGACAAGGCTCCTCAAACCACCAGAAAATCACTAACAAAAAGATGTCCCCCTCTGAAAACCACTAAAATTTCCACTAAGATATATGAATATGATTAAAGCAAAAAAAAAAAAGTAAAATTACGTTTATTATTAAAAATCTTATTGTTGTTAATATATTTTTTTTACTTTTAGTACTTAAAAACATCAAGTTGCTTAAGATATTATTTACATTAATAAATCGTCTTCAGATGAATCT